CATTCAGGTTCTAAATATTGGACAGTTTCTCATTTTTTTTTTCATTCAGGCTACAGACTTTTAAAGCTGCTTTTATTTCATGTTTATAAAGCAAGGACAATGCACAATACATGTATTGTACCACATATTGCTAAAAGCTCATTTTCATCTGTAGTTCCTGGGCAGAGGTCACATGGATGAGTTCAATCTGACAGCGTTTGACACCAAACAAGATACCCCTCAAGATCCATCTTTCTCTGAATGTAATTAATGAATTCCCAACAAAAAAGGGTTTTGCCACGATATGATCTCACTGAACTAAAGGTTTAGGCTTTGGAGAATCACCCGTAGTGTGTATAGCTCTGTAAGCAAGTGTAGCTAAGCGGAAAATGAAGCAACAGTCAAACTATGTTACTGATCAACCTCTTTTTCGCCATGAACAGTCACTTTACTGAGTAACTCCACAACCCTGTCAGGCTGCCTTCGGCGTCAGCACAATTGACTCTTTTCTGGGATGCTACATTGCCTCCAAATCTGCTGATGAGTTCCTCTTCATTACTCATTTATTTAGGGCCTGTTGGATGATGTAGTTTTCAGACCTGTGACAGCCAGCGCATGCAAATGCTACCTGAGTGGAATATTCTGACCTCTCCAAAGCACGTGAGTCCAAATGGAAGTGACTCATAACTGTACTGAAAAGAAATGTGAAGGTGGCAAAAAACAGTCTGGGCACTTTTAACCTGCACCATCTGAGACTGGCTATTTCTACATAGTTATTCTTAATGGCTGCCACTGGGTTGGATTCAGTCAGATTCCCCTTGAAATCAGATGAAGAGGTGGTAGTTTTGTTCAGTGGTGCCAGCAAAATCATCAGATAATGAAAGTTCCTTATTTCTAGTTCCAAATTTATGACATGACAAACAGTGTTACAGACATTTAGACAATATAAAAACATTCACTCTAGTTCAGGGCTGCCCAAAGTGGGGCCGGTGGCCCAAAGTTGGCCCACCATAAGATTCGATGTGAGGTAAAATTCTTCTTTAAATAATTATTCTTTATTTTTCATTATCTGAGCACAGTGGGCAGAGTGACACACAGGAACTTGGGATCCTTGTACCATTTTCTAACAATACAATACAATAGGTGGCCCACCATTAAGTTTCAGTTGTGGCCCTCTGAGGGAAAAGGTTTCGGCACCCCTGCTCTACTTATTGTTTTTTTTTTTTTTTTTTACATATATCCATAGACCCACAGCTGCCAGATCTGGACTGAGGCCCGGTTTACACCTCAGTATTAACATGCAACTTGGATGATATGATGCATATGGCAAAAATTATTTAAGCAGTGTGTACACAAATGTAGCCACACTGTCTACTCAACTGACATCCTCTGAGTAAGTGGAAGTACGTACTAGTTCGCAGGAAACCACAAGAAGAAACAACAACAACAAGAACATATGTTCACATCCACTTTGAGAACTTCTGCATCAATATGTTACATAGCAAAATAAAATACAGAAACGAGATAAACCATGTACAAGTAACCATATCAATACTCACATCATATCATAAAGCTTGTAAGAAATGTTAAATGCATACTGTATGCGAACCTACTTCCACACAGTCCAAACATATTGCTATTGCAACAAATCAGAAAAAAGTACAGCAGCTGCAATAAAAGCTGTATCCTGGTTAAATGTCCATTATCCCCCTACAGCTTGGATCTTTGTACAATTTCTTTTGCATATCAATAGGCAGTTTATTTTGTAGCTGCTTTACATAAGTTATAAATGAAGACCATGTATTATGATTTTTGTAGACCGATCCTTGCCTTGTGCGTCTAATTTCTTTCCAGTTGTGGAAACATTACTTCTTGTATTCACATTATAAAAGAAGAAGGTTTGTCAGACGTCCAGCTCCTGATTATTAGTACTATGGCTTTGAGGATCAAATACATTGACATCCAGTGGTGATATTCTAAATACAGCATTGAGAGGATTAGGAGAAATGAGTGTGTTACATAGAGTCAGAAATCAAAGATTGGACAGAACCAAAACCCATGAGAAACCACATTTTTACATCTAGGTCAGCCAAGAGACTTTATTACCATTTCTGAAACCCTTAAACACTGTTTCCACACTGGTCAGTATACTGTGTGATGATTGACATCCATTTTTCTTTAGAAGAAGCAAGATTCCAGCTATTAAAACCAGATCCTTATTCAAGGCCCTATTTGATTCTAAAGTATCAGGTATAGAAATGATGGTTAGTATAGAAACCTTTCAGCCTATTTGTCTTAAATACATAGTGTTGCCATGTTAGGGATTTGTTTTACTGAAAAATTAAGAACAAACATTGTTTCCTGGGTGTATACGTGTATGTATATAATAGTGTTATTCTATGAATTTATTTTTTTCTGTGTGCATAGTATGAAAAAATTGCAAACAATTACAATCTTGTGTTGTATATCCTTGATAAAATGTTGTTTTTAATAACAAAAAAGAACATTTGCAGAGATTTCACAGATCATTCTTTGTTTCTTTGCTTTTCCAACTTAATGGCATTTTTTCCAATATTCTAGAGAAGCCATTTGCTGTGCTGTTATGTCATGTAACCAACACTAGACTGATATTCGTGAGCAATGATTCTGAGGGTTTGTTTTCGATTAAAATATTCCAGTTGAGGTTACATGAAATCCAACTGCAACAACAAGCATGCATGGGCAAAAACTCAGAATAAGCATAAAACTGTTTTAAATTGCTTGTTTTATGTCATATTCACTTAAATAAAGCTGCCAGTTTGGGGCTGGGAACACCCAGCAGCTCGAAACCGAACAATCATTATTTAAACAATTATCCTAGATAGCTATCTTTGATCATTTAAACACGAAGAGGTTGAACAGGAACGTTAAAAATGAATCATACGCTGCTCCACAACAGAAACGCAGTCATTCCATGCAATCATGTTCTCATGAGATTAGAGCTGTAACTTTAATTATTTACAAAATGCTTCATGCTTTGTTGACAGTGATCTAACTTTTGACAGACAAGACAAAGTGCAAGAACTTTCCCATAGTGCTCGGCCAATCTTCTGTACTGTGGTTAATTACTACTGCCGCAGTCAAATTGAGTTAAATGTTGTTTTCTGTCATGTTGAGGTATTCAGAATCATAATTATCTTTTATTGTTGCCTCGCACAACAATGTGCATTTGTTGTGGAGCAGCTTGAGAAGTTTTTTCTCTTAGCATTCTCATGGCCACGTTGACGACCACTTTCAACTCAGTTGCACCAAACTGCAGTGTTCAGTTGGAACATTTAATTTCCTTTACAGCAAACCTGCTTATAAAGGTGGTTTAGTGGATCAAATACATAGTGTATAAGGATATTTAAAATATATTCTGTTAAGAAGTTAAGGATCTTTAAACCAAAAATGGTCCAAAAATAATTACTGATATAGACTCACTCCTCACAGAATATATGCATTATTTTCTTTTGCAATTTGAAAAACACAATCAAAGTGAGTATTTTCAAATAATGTATGAAGAGTGAAAACTTGTTTTGGAGTCGCCTCCTAGTGGTAAGCTAAGGAAAGTGTTTTTTTTCTCTCTCTCTCTTTAGTTTCTAAAGGTCAAGCAAGCTCTCTCCCAACAACAAGTTTACCAGCAGTGCTGTGTTTTTAGCTGTTTGTGCTGTTCGTCCTGCAACATGAGACCATTTGTCATTGACAATGTTGGTTGTTTAAGGTTCACCTAAGGGCCTCTAGATGGCATCAATGCCCCTGTTCAGGTTACACACTGGCTAATGAATATACCTTTCATGTGGAAATACCTGTTTCAACAATTAATAAGGAAAACAACCAGCAGCTTGGTCACTATTTGCTCCTTTATGTGTGGCAAGATCTGTTTGATGTAAACTATATGCTACTGTGCAGTGGATTTTAAGAGGTTTTATGCAGATGTCTTAACTCAAACCACCCAATGACATAAGCTCACACACTTTTAATGATTAACCCTAACAATTTTCATGTAAAGACAAGTATAATTCACAATTCCCCCCTTTCTCCTCCTTCATTTACAACTTACTTTTTTCAACTTGTTGAGATTTTCAACTTGTTAGAACATTTTCGGTTATTTCCCCCTTCTTTAAAATTGACCAACTCTGTAATTTTAAAGACTGAGGCTTAGGATTTTTTTTTTTAATGTTGCTTATCATATTTAAAGTTCGACAAGATAGGACATGCAAATAAGTAACTGAAGAGCTCGACTGGTTCTCATGCTCAGGCCTATGTTAGCCCAACCCTTCCTTCCCCTCTTCCCTCCCTCCTGTCCCTTGCCAAACAGGATCTGTAGGATCTTACAGAGTCATTTTCTCAGGAGACAGGAATGTCAGAATACAAGGCTCAGTACCTGCTGGAACATGCACCCTACATTCCCTCACATTTACAGGAAAAAGTCCCGATGTGTTGCTCATAGATCCATTTAATTTCCACTTAGTGTGTGGCAACAGGTCTGCATAAAATGTCTAGTGTGCACCGGACGTGTTGTAGACGACACTGACTCACTGAAATTAGGTTGTCTGGTACACCACCCTGCCCACTTTTCAAAAGGTGAATTCACAACCTTTGAGTTTAAAAGGAGTTTTATTCATTTTGTGATATCTTTAGCAAAAGTTTTTATTTGTAAGACAACGTTTTAATGTAATACATTTGTCAGATGACACTATGGATTATATGGAGAGCTGCAACGATTAGTCAATTAGTTCCCAACTATCAAATTAACTTCCAACTGTTTTGATTTTGATTTTGAAAATAATCGCTTTGAGTCATTTTTTTAGAAAAAATATCCAAATTCTCCGATTTCAGTTTCTCAAATGGTATTGTCTGGTTTCTTTTGTCATCTGTGACAGTAAACTGAATATCTTTGGGTTGTGGACAAAACAAGACATTTGAGGACGTCACCTTGGGTCTGGGAAGTGAGCCCTACACATATTCTTTTTACAAAAGACAGTGACACAAAAAAAACAGATTTTTGAGATTTTTATTATATCAAAGTCTTATTAAATGTCTTTGTTCTGTGTACAGCTTATAAGCATAATATCATACAGCAGATAGGCTAGTCATTCAGACTATAAAGAACCCAAGTGTAACAGAATATAAATATAATACAGTAGAAATCGTGGCATTCAGAGTGAATTGAAAGAATGACACAAAATCAAAGAAATGTGAAGGATTATTTGGCTGATTTTTCAATCATCCCACATCACCATCTACGTAACTCAGAGGCTATCGACAAGCTGAGGATAGAAATGTAACAAAACAAGGACATCCCAATTCATGCTACATTCGTCTGCGTCAGTGTGTCTTATATTTGGACACACAGAGGTCCAAAGTGACAGCACTCCTGCATCTGTTAGCGCGCCCTCTCAGCACTAGCGCTGGCATTTCCATTGCTCAACAAGTTGAGCTGCACGCAGTGAAATGTTAAAAGTCACAAAGTTCAGTTTCTTCCCATATCAGAGGTCACTTCTGCTTTAATTGACAGACCAGTGGCTGGAAGTTGGCGATGAGGTGGACTCTTTGTGGGACTGATTTGGGCTGTGGCTGTAGGTGGGGGAGTGAGTAACACTTGGACTGCTGGGAGGGGTGGAAGAACAGGAGGAAGACTTAGACTTAATCTGCAGCCACTTGTCTCCCAAAGCCTTGGCAAAGTGGTCATCGACGGACACGCTGATGGATAGCTGCTGGGAGCGAGCTTTCTGGTAGTTCACTCCGAGGCTTCTCTGGAAGTGCTCCTCAACCACGTGGTCGTAGTTACTTTTGGAAATCACTAGAAGAGAAAGGATGGATGAATGGATGAATGACAAAAGTCAAATACACACCTCAGTGAGTCAGTAAAAGTGAGTGGATGTCTACATTAAGATGCGTGTGTCACGATTAGGGAGTGACCGTCTGGTGGGTGAGCTCATTCACAAGAGTGCAAGACTGACCTGATGAGGGGCCCCTGTGGACCTCGGATCTGCAGGAGGGGTTTCTTGATGAGGAGACGCAAGTGATCACAGAGGGACGCATCTGAAAAAACAAAAGAATACAGTCGGCATTAATTACATGAAAAGACATAAAACAGTACTTTCTATCTGCAGTTAAAACGCAGCAACCCTGCTTTGTGTTTTGTCTTTATTCCACAAGCTGTTTAATATCCCCTTAACTGACGGATAGGCTCATCCCATTACAACAAAACAGTGTACACTATTCAAAGTGAAAACAAAATGATTTGAAAACCAATTAAACTGGTTGGGTTTGCCCATGGAAGTCAGATCACTCCCAGGCATATACAGGTCAAAGAGAGAGCTGTCTGTTTGGTCTTGTTTATGGCATTCCTCACTCCATTGCTCACATTTTCTTCCTGAATCTGGCTGGATTGCATAGCTTGGACAAGCTTAGGCCTGCATGCACTTAGAAAGAAGAATGTCTGCGCAGTTGGAGTTACTGAGATAGAAGACGTACCACTGCTGTGGGTAGCCTGGAGCTACACTGACACTACAAAGGGACATACAGTACCACCACGTTTCTTTAGTTATGACAGCCCAAACATCCGTGATCTTTGAGAAAGTCACGTTGAACATGTTTTGGTGAATTACCTGGATTTGAGTGGTAACTGAGCTTTTAGTCTTGTCCTCCGTGCTTTCAGGGTCTTTTCTTGGTTTCTTGATGAGGGCAAGTGGTTCATCCATGACTGGTGTGTAGTACACATGGGTGGGCAGAGGGCTGGTGGGGCTAGGTGTTGGACTGCAGACTCCAGTAGATGTGGGGCTCTGTGGCCTGTTAAACGCCGCCGGCGCAGGTGCCGCTCTCTGGGCAGATTTACCACTGCTTCTGCTCAGTGCCCGCTCTCGCCTGAAACATTAATTCATCAGATAATGTCACATCACTTTGACCGAATCTGCATTCAAAATCATACTTTTAAAGTGAATTATCACTGGAAATACGAATAGACTACCAACCTCGCCTCCAGTGTCAGGCCTCTCTCATGGCTGCGCTTGCGTTTGATTGGATACACTGTTGGGACTCGTGCCCGGTCATTTGTCATGTGTCTGTACCTGTCTTCGCTTCTGAGATGGGGCTGCCCTGGAAAACAAAATGAAAGTGCAGAATTAGAATGAGAGGCTTTTTTTATATAAAAAAAAAAAAAAAAAATTACAGTCAAACCAGATGTGTTTTGACTTTGGTTCAGTTGTCTAAATCCATCCAGCAAGAAAAACGACATTTACTGGCAGTGATGATTACTACGTTAGTAGTGTGTCAATCAGTGATGAGTAACTACTTGTTTTGATCCATCAACCTGCAGAACTGCTATTCGTGGGAAATCTTTTTTTTTGTCACCGTTAATTGTAAACTCCGTTAACTTGTAGAACTCGATCTACCTGATCAGTGAGCGTTACAACACTACACAGCTGATTCAATGTTAACGGTAAATGTTGTTTTTCTGCATAATGTTGGCATTCAGCCTTATCACACAGTCGCAAAAGGTCACAATCAACAGGTTTTGTTATGGATGGGGTGCCACACATCTAACTGTTTTTAGCCCTTGAGGACCCCGATTTGGGCGGCACCCATATGTGAAAGGGCCATCAAGGACAACACATGCGAACACATGCTGGATCCTTGCAACCACGCAAGTTGAAACACATCAACAAGAAGCTGATGATGTCACTGATGAATAAAAGAAACGCACTTTAAATTCAGGTTGCAAATGAAACCCACAAAATTATATTTTAGGGTGTTTTATTATATAAAGGCGGGTACAGTTGAATCCAAACCACAGGGGTAATACTTTTAAACCCACTTCCTCTTGGAGCTCTTTATTGTTTCACGTCAATAAGCTCACATGTTCACAACAGTCGTGCATACAGTCAAAACACAGAGCATTGTTTGAAAATGGAATGGCAGCATAATTATACTGTGGCCTATTGTTTGACTGTAACACTTGAAAATCCACATTGATGGGACAGCGGGAGTCCTTCAAAGCTCCTTCAACTGTATTCAAATCCATCCCTCAATGCTTTGAAAGAAAAACCACAGTCACATATTGAAATCAGACAATGAGGTTGACTGTCTGTTTTGAATTGTAAGACAATGAAAAGTCGATCACTGAGTCTTCACACCTCAAGTGCTCACTCCAATCCACATTTCCTACTGGATAAACACTCCAACACCTGTGAGCTACTCTTTCACACAGAGTGCCATTGTGGAGGGGGAGGGGGGGTGGCAGGTATAACCACACCTATGCTGATTTTCTAATGCCTCGGGCATGGATATTTCTTCCTCATTAGCAGCAGGAATACGCTGCCTGACCTTCTGTTTAGCTGCGTTTAGTCAGATTTTATGGATATCCGACAGAAACACGGCATAGCTGTGAGTGAAAACACAATTTACTGGATCTCAGCTCAGTCTTATTTCACCTTGAAATAAGTATTCATAGGGAGTCCTTTATTCTTTATTCTAAGTAGACTTCCTGTGTTGAATCCACTTAGTGTACTTTAAAGGTTCTTCTTAGTGCATAACTTCTATGTGACTGTCATCACATCTGATTATTTCCATTAGATATTGTATTTACATAAACATCATACAAAGAACAAAGGTAAATGTAACTGTAATGAACACATGTGTTATAAAAGGTTGTGGCATGACATATCTAAACATATAAATATGTATTAACATTATTATTGTTATTATTATTAATATTATAGCATAACCATGGCAGAGACTTAACTGCACTAATCTAGGTAATACAAGTATTCACTCTGATCAAGCAACATGAGGCTATAAGAGAAAAGTGAATATCAAGCTTACCTTCTAAAATGTAGACCTTGAAGCCACTGCTCATCCGAGTAATGTACTGGAAATTAGCCACGGCCATGGCTCCTTGTCGTTTTCTGAGTGAAGCCAAATACAGAGAAACACCTTGACTGCTGGATCTTACAGGACACAATGAGCCTCAGTTTTGGATTGTGTTGGAAAGGTAATGAGATGCTGGGTGGAAGCTCAGCCAGGTAAAGTATCAGGTGAGTGCAGATAGGTGCAGTGGCTTCCCTGTGACTCATTCCTTGCATACAGATTGGCTGCTGTTGAGGCCAATCAGAAGCCCTCATTCATCCAGGCTTGTTGTTGTCGCAATGAGCTCACAGGTAGGCCCAGGTAGAAAGTGGTGTTGCTAAATGTCACAGTACCACAGAATCCACACTGATTAAAGGAGCTTTTACTTTATTCAACACTTTCTTTTGTACAAGGTATCATAATGAAAAAAAAAAAAAAACTCACAACACCTCTTTGGTCATAAATTAATTTTTTCCCACACAACTTTTTTAGATTTTCTCCCTGAGCCATGCAGAAAGTGAAGTGTGCCTTTTGTTTCCCTCCATGTAGTCAGCACCTGTCCCACTCCCCTCCCTCCCACCTAATCTGCAATCTCACCAAACTGCATTTTTTCGAGCTCTTAGCCCACCGGAGCTCCAGTCATTCCACTGACCTGCCCATACACGCACGCAGCTGTACTGTGAGCCTGCCTCACCAGTAATCCAAAGGCTTTTGTTGATGGCCAGACAAAGGCTCCTAAGTCCTGAAAATGCTGCTGCCATGAGAACAATCTTGCCTGAGCATACCGCGGAGTTTGGCCACACATAGAAAGTCTTTGGAGGCCACTCAGTCAGATACTGTGTGACACAGGTACTGCTGAGAAAATAATTAAGAGTGTAATCAATATCTGGATGTATGATATATGCAAACATTTCAATCACATGATTGTTTGCACACTAGCGCATTGAGAATCAATCCCAATGATCCTCTGTGCTGCCCTGGTATTGGCTGACACATTAGCCCGTTTTAATCAGTTTAATACTGCTGGTGATTATTGTCACAGAAAAAGAAGATTGGTTCAAAAAAATTAACAAGAACTGCACATATACAGGTCTCGATGTGAATACATTTAGCTCAATTTAAGCTCAACAGTGCCCTCCCTACATCATACACTGCAATAGCATGCCATCAGAACCTACATAAGGGCATTGTGAATGCATTAAAAAAACAAGAATAAAACTGCTGTTTACTAAATACTCAATTTGAAAACATGTTTGCTCACTGGCCGATTCCATGTAGTGTTGACGTTTGAAAATGTAAGGAATCTGGGGCTGAAATGTATGGAATCTGTGAATGGACGACTGAGTTTTTCTTGTTTTGTAGCATTGTTTACCCTAATGTCACTCAGCAAAGAAAATGTTTTGTCTACCATAAATTAACAAAATGTATATAATATAATAATGTACTCCCATATGAGAAATTACAATTGCTCCAGTGGATCTTCTTAGCAGTAGTATTCATAACGATTATAGTATTTTTTAACAAAATGGGGACTGAAATTATCAGGCATTAACAAGACAAAACAGAGGCCATAACAATATCCCACTGTGATATTGTTAATGTGAATAAACAAACACTTTAAAGATTTTGCATTACAGAATTTTTTGAGGGGCTTTGAGTGAAGATGTTCCCACCACTGTCTGCACGCAGCACAGTCACTACTGAGGGCACGTTCGTAAATGAATAAACTTTGTGCGGAACTTTAACAATCAATCAACTGATGAACTGATAAACAAACAAAATACATAGCCTGCATAAAAAAATCAAAGAGGAATAATTGTAACATATTTTTATTGACTCATTCAGAAAAGGTCATTAAACGTCCAGTGTGTGTCTTTTAGGGAGAATCTATTGGCAGAAATGAAATATGATATTGAAATTGTTTTCATTAGAGTATAATCACCTGAATGTTGTGATCATTGTGTTTCTGCTACCTTAGAATGAGGCATTTTTATCTTGCCACAAGAGACAGACCAAACACTGACTGTAGATAGGGTGGTGGTTTTCAGTAAGTTGCAGTCTGCATCTTCACCACTAGATGTCACTAAATCCTACACACTAGACTTTAAATGGACAGAATGAAGCGTCCAGCAATGTGGCTCCTTCCTGCAGGGTTGTGCGGAGGTGCAGCAGTGTTTATTTAGGCTTTAGATTGTAATTGCTGCGAAACAATCAGAAAATAAGGTTTTATTTCTCTGATTAACTGCTCTGTTCTCGGTAAGGCCGCTCCCTCTCTTCATTCACTCTCTATGTCTCCACTGCGCTCTCTCTCTTTCTCTCCATCTCTCTTTTTTCCCCTTTTTTGGGGGTCTCAATAGAAGCCTCCAGTGAAATAACATGTGTTAGTGCACTAAATACTATCATAACAAACATAAAACGTGGAACATGAAGCACTAAAATTAGCCTTTTCATTCATTTCATCAGTTAGTCATTATTTTATCTGCATGAAACAGGCTTTTTATTGTTAATGGAGAGATACTCTACCTCTTCCAGGTATCATTCTACTGGTTCAGGTAGGAAATGCACTCAGCGATGTGTATCTGTGGACACGGTTCAGTCACCACCACACAGAGCAGTTTCCATAGTAGAGGCCTGGGACTCCCCAGGGGTCTGTGTTGATCACTGGCACCAACAGATGGCGCATCTCTCACAATCTGTATTGACTGCTGAAAATCAAAAGTAACACCCAGTGTCAGCGGCCTGAGAGCCAAACAGCCACCGCTGTTTTATTGAGCTCAACAGGATGCAATATCACATCAACACCCACAATGCACCCCGTGGAGTCAACAGCATGCTCATGTCTGACAGTGACCGACGCCCCTGTCACCCTGCTCTCATCAGCACCACCATCATATCCCAGCACAGAGCTGCGTCAAGCCCCACACACACACAGGCGGAACCACACCGGAAGTCAATAACACTGTCTTTAATAGCTTCAAACACGATTCTCAAAACAGAATTAAATGTCCATATTTAGGATTAAAACGTCTTACCTTTAATTATGTGTTATATTGTTAAGATGCATCGTCTTCTTAGAATTAGAATTTTAAAATACATTTCAGCGACATCCTAATTAACACGCGTTTATTTTGAAAGCAACATCCGGGAGTCGTGCCCCGCACACCGCCCAACCTGACTCCGGTCCAGCCTCGCAGGCTCCCTTCCCTCAGGATGACTGGGAGTGACGCAGGGCAGACAGAAAAAAAAAAACTGGGTCTTGAGGGGAAGGACAGGGAGAACGGCGGTGATGCAGGAAGGACTGTAGCTTTAATTTCACAGGTTCAAGCCCGATGCACGGCCCGCAGTCCGCCTGCACAGAGGACATGAGAGTCAGTTACACGCAGGCTTTCCTGTGAGAGATAATAATAATAAGGCATCATCACCTCATCCTTGGGGCGGATCACTTTCGGACACACTCCCAGGTAAGGCTTCATCATGTTATGATACTCACTACTGATCTGTGGGGGGTCTGATATGTGGGCTTATTCTCCAAAACCCGATATTCAGATATAAATGTGACATTCGTTTATTTCATTTGAGTCTGGATCTCTGTTTGTTCTGCTAGAATAAAGGGGCTGTGTGATGGTTTGCTTCACCTCAGCTAATTCCTTAAGCTACTCAGTCACGATTCCTTACTACTGTAATCCCATATTAAAAATCTGCTCCTAATTTATAACACAAGGTTCGTCTCTCTTTAGGCAACACTGATCCCACAGCCTGCACATGGAAAAGTAGCCTAGTCATTCCATTTTTTCTCACTGAACACACAAGTTGTAAGTCGCATCCAGCTGGAGGATATTTGGACACCTCTTCCCGTCATTTGATTAAGTCTCCATCATGAACTACCTGCGTCGACGACTCTCGGACAGCAATTTCATGTCCAACCTGCCCAATGGCTACATGACGGATCTCCAACGCCCCGACCCGCCGCAGCAAAGCCCCGCAGTGTCGCCAGGGCCGTCAGAGAGGCGCCAGTCCACCAGCCAGCCGCAGCCTGCAGGTGGAGGCTCCGGCTTCTTCTCATCCATATCCAATGCTGTCAAACAGACCACAGCTGCTGCGGCTGCGACCTTATCCGAGGCAGCGGACCGGGCAGGAGTCTCCAGCAGTGCCAAGATCCTCCTGGTTATCGACGACCAGCAGACCGACTGGTAAGAGCAGTGCGCATTGCCAGCGCGGTGCCTCGTCTAGACAGGAATGTGTGCCAGACCGTGGGTAGCAGTGGCCTAACATCTAGAAGGTCATATGATTCATCCAGTGCTCTCAGTTATATCACGTGTAGGTCTTCTTGCTCACACCAGAAACACCTTGCAGATGGTTTTGTGCGCTGGTTGTCAGTGTGCCATGGCAAAAGCGCAACAGACTCAAGGCAGAGAAGCCATTTTCATTTGACGATCAGCTGTTGCTTGTGTCGAAGTAATCTTGCATTCTTCCATTAAAATGCTTAAAATGATGCAAGTGCACTGGGCATGGGCTGGTGCCACCATGATGATGGAGGTATTTTTTTAAAAATTGGAATGGCTGTAAGGGCAAATTCTGCACAAGACAAATATATGCATCAGGTTAGTCAAGCCTCTTCACCAGTGCACATTATGAATGCTTATTAGAGCTTTGCGCACAAGTCAAGGGTGATAAAAGGCTGCACTTTCCTCTCAAAGTGACACCCTAGGTGATAATAAATTAAGCAGATATGTGCACCATCACACCTAAACCCTTCCATCCGACAGTGCAGAGCCCATGTGGTTCTCCCACTCTGTCACAGGCATGACATGTGAATATGGGTGGATGTAAAATGCGAGGGCCAGTATGAATGTCCTTAATAAAATCTCCTTATGCACCAGATAGGTTAAAATAATGTGCCACAAACTACTTAATTTAGCTTTTCCCTTGTTGTTTATGTTGCACGGTACTTTCAAAAGGGGCTGAAACAGTCCAAAGATGCACTGCCAGCATTTACAGTAATTGCAGTGTTCAGCATACTGCTACTAACAGATAGTATTTTGTTTTATTGATGTCAGCTTACTTTATGTACAGTGATGTACTATGCCAGGAACACTCTCAGAGTGTTGAAAATGTGAACTGAAAAGGCTGGAGGAAATGTCAGCTGTCAGTTCCAGGAGAAATGTGAAAAATGAAATTCATGTTTTGTGTCTGGATACAAACAACAATTGGATTCAAATCCTCATTTCACATGCAGGGTAAAGGTCTTCAGAGGAAGAAAGGTCCACGGTGAATATGACATCAAGGTAGAACAGGTAGGTTTCACACATGTTACTATTTGCTTTATTCTGTGTTCATCTTTGCTCCCCACCAGGAGGACAGGGAACTAAAATAAAGACCATAGAGACTGGAAAAAGGAGCTTCGGTGAGCTATGTGACCAGACTGTGAACTTCTGTCGGAGGGGTGTTACATCATTCTTTCATAAGACATTAGTATTTGTGTTGTGTTGATGGACAACACTGCCTCTGATGTATTTACGTCAAGAGCTGGTTACTAAAACAGTATGATTTATTTTTCTCTGTATATGAAAACATCCCCATTGGCTTTATTATAGGATGAATTGTATTTATTGCTGGTCATTATTCTCTCTAATCACATAAGGAGCTATAAGTTATCATCTGAAAATGTACCCCTTCCTATAAGCATCCTTTGTCTTACGTTTGATGGTATTTTGGTTTAATATTGTTATTTTCTTAGGCAGTGTCATGTGTACGTTGGTGAGTCATTTCGTTAGGTAAATTTGTCCACTTCCTTTTTAGGTGCATTGATCAACAACAGGCTTACTACCAACCTAAAATGATTCATGGTTTTTCAATAAATAACACATGACTCAGCCAGTACAATAGAAGCTATTACTGTGTTCATTGAGAGTCCTTAGAATGACAAATGTCCCAGGGTCCAGTTCAATAATTAGGGAATATTGATAGGAGAGGGGACTGCTGCAGTCATTCATTTTCTTGACATCTGGTTAAGAGAAACAGATTCTGTTTGGCAGATTCCTCCACAGAGCCATTCTGACTAATGCAAACTTTTAATTCTAATCTCTCATAAAGATAGAAGAGTAGCCTAACAGCTAATCAATAATCATTTTGGTCAATTTGTGAATAGTAACGTGCAACCGTCCAGGGCTATTTGTTGGTACGGTATATGTCAGTGGCTATTTGTGCTGAAATCCACCCAACAGCACTTTGAGGAGACTCTAAAACTTTTAAAATCATTTTCACTGCCTGAGGCATTTTCCTCCTTTCCTATTTTTGTCCCTCTTCTTCATGTTGCGCTTGCGTTTCCATTATTTCCCCAGTGGCACCTTAACAGGAAGAACACACTTCAGATGAAGTCTGCCGTCTTATAATTGTTAGATAAGATAAGATAGACCCTGATAGTTCCTCGCTCATGTAGAATAGGCTCATTCGCTGCCCTCCTGCTCTGATCACAGTGTTTTGTATAGCGTTTACTGGAGATTGACTGTGACATTGTCTTTTTAGGCCGAGTTCTCTGAAATCAACCTGGTGGCCGATTCCACAGGTACCTACAATGTGGACATTGATGCGTTCAGGAATGGGCATAAGGTTACTAGGTAAGTAATTTGAAAAATATTGCTAGTTAAGAAAGTTTGATTATCCACAGTGCTGGTGCAAATTTTGCAATGTTGAAATCTACTAAAATTCTACTATTCCGCAAACTGAAGTTGCTCTTCTACTGTCCCAGATCCTTTAAGCCAGACTTTGTGCTGATCAGACAGCATGCTTTCAGCATGGACAAGAATGGAGACCACCGAAACATGGTGATCGGACTGCAGTATGCTGGACTGCCAAGCGTTAACTCTTTGCACTCTGTCTACAATTTCTGTGACAAGCCATGGGTGGTAAGTATTATTTAATTTATTATTCTAAACCTATAATTTAGCTGCATAGCCATAGAAAACTTACATTTTGGATTAGAAATGCTCCTTCCTAAACATTTGTATCCATCTTAGTTTGCTCAGATGTCTAGACTCTTCAAGCAACTTGGCCCAGAGGAGTTCCCACTGATTGAACAGGTTTACTATCCAAACCACAAGGAGATGGTGAGTTCTGTGCCATCTGCTCTCCTCCTATCTCTCCTCCCCCTTTCCACTTGTGCTGATGGGTATGTTTAAATGCTAAGCAACCATTAAAGAGACATGCACACACACACACACACACACACACACACACACACACACACACACACACACACACACACACACACACACACACACAGAAGGGTCATCCCTCTGCACGGGTCACATTTTAGGAGGGTAATTCACTTCCATGTCAATATTCCATCTCATGTAGCAGCTGAGACCAATCTAATTTTCTGGGGAGTGTCTTGTTTTTCGTTCTGGGTAGAGGCTGAGCTTTTTTTTTTTTTTTTTTTTATTACTTGTGTGCCAAGACAGTGACAGTACAGTTAAACTGAGTGTGTTGGTGCAGAGCAGTCATCTCCACCCCTGCAGTCACAGGCTGACAGAACAGGGCTGGCTTTCAAGCTATCAATATGAATCAGAAAATGAAGAAAGAAAGGAGGGCTGCTATTTCATTGACATTGATTAACACTTGGTGTTTTAAAGGTCCAGTATGTGACATTTAGTGGGATCTATTAGCAGACATAGAATGTATTATTCATAGGCATAGAAAATAAGAACCGTTGTGTTTTTGTTACCTTAGAATCAGCCGTTTTTATCTACAGAATAGGGCTTCAGTGAAATGAGACATTCATGGTACAGTAACTGTCTCAGAAAAGAGAGCTGCACATTAAAAGGTCTTGCTGTGAATATATGAAAATTTAAGCTCAACAGTGCTCCCCCAAAGTCATCCCCTGCAATAGCACGCAATCAGAACCTACACAAGGGGACGGTGTATGCATTTCATTCAGGAGAGACAAGTGAATGAAGCAAAGATAATTCATTATTATAACATATGATATGTGATGATTAAATCTTGATAGAAAGTCAAGGCACTTAAACTCTACAGTCAGATTATTGTGATTGAGGGGCATCTGCCCTGAGCAGCAGCAAGATAAATCCCTCCATGGAGTCCAGACACTGGTGGTGTTGGTGGCTGATGACTCTGCTGAGGGTGATAGGCTGATGAAACAAGGAAGCTGATGAATCTGTGAAGAGTGGTGAATGGGAGGTGGAAGGGCACGCATATCAACAACATGCATGAACTGAAGGCAAAGAGAAAGAATCATATCTAAAAAGACAGCAGCAAGATGATAGGCTAACGGTGCAGGGGTGTCACTGCGCTATTGGATAGATGTTACCAGCTGATGAGAACAACTGATTTCACGATTGACAGCCTCAGATAATGACAACAAAGAAATTATGCATGACCATGCGTGAGAGGAGTGAATGCAGGATGGAAAGATAAATTAACTAGAGGCCCGAATGAAAGTTTGTACTGCAGAAATTTTGAAAAACCCCTTTTCTCTCTGGAGGTTTCCAGGAATTGTAAACATTTTACAATGCAAGGAATGTTAAAAAGTATGGGATCTGAGTTTTTCTTGTTTTGTAGCATTACTTATCCACATATCTACACCTCAAACAGCTATGGTGCTTCTACATATGTTACTATATACTAATAATATACTATGGTATAAACAGTATTACACCATTATGATTATTGTTATCGTTATCATCATCAGTTACAGTTTACCTTAAAGGGATGAGAAGAGAACTTTTTTTCATGTTTTTCATGAGTTTTGCAGCTACCATAGTTTCTTGGTTGCAGCCTGCAATATGCAACCGCTAGATGTCTCTAAATCTTACACACTGGTGCTTAAATCATTAAAGTATTTTGATGAAGTTAATTTATGAGAAATCTGAGTGTATAATAATGCTGTTGTTACAGATTACCTCCCCTCGGTTCCCTGTAGTGGTAAAGATGGGCCATGCTCACTCAGGAATGGGAAAGGTAGTACTGGAGTGCTCAAGTGTTTACTCAATTCAATATGAACGCAATATTGTTGGGACTGATATATGCCACTATATTTACATTTTGACCATTGCTACCCCAGGTGAAAGTGGACAATCAATATGATTTTCAAGATATTGCCAGTGTTGTGGCACTGACCAAGACCTACGCCACATCTGAGCCCTTCATTGATGCAAAGTATGATGTCCGCATCCAGAAGATTGGCGACAATTACAAAGCTTACATGTGAGTGAAATAAGGATTCTTCAGTATTCAGACTACTAAAAAATCCAACGCACATACACATATATCATTATAACAAATGTAGATAGTCATATATGAAAATAATTTTAAAATTCTAATTAACAGGAGAACATCAATTTCGGGAAACTGGAAAACCAACACGGGCTCATCTATGCTTGAGCAGGTGGCCATGTCAGACAAGTAAGAGCACATAAACGCAGACAAGATAAGATTGTAAATCCTTTAACGTCTCACAGTACTATTATAGCTCTGTTTAACATATTATTACAGGTACAGAATGTGGGTGGACTCTTGTGCTGACATCTTTGGAGGGTTGGATATCTGTGCAGTGGAGGCTCTACATGGTAAAGATGGAAAGGACTACATTATAGAGGTACTAGAAGAAAGTATAATAATATGAATGGACTATTTGTCTGTTCAAGGGAAATCCATGAAATCCATCGTCTTGTTGATTTTTAGGTTGATGACTGTTCGATGCCACTGATTGGGGATCAGCAGGATGAGGATCGCATTCAGATTGCAGAGTTGGTGATTTCCAGGATGAACCAGACTGTTCCACTCACTACAAGCTCTTCCACAGTCCGTGCAACAGCAGGACAGCCAACCCAGGTGCTCAAACATTAGATACTCAATACTTGCTACACTAATCTCTCTTTTCTTATTTTCCCCACTTCTATTAGTAATATATGACAAGTCAGTTTTATGTAGGGTGCACAGTTACACACAAGGTTTTTTTCAGAACATCTTTACTTATTATTAAATATCTTCTTATTTAGAGAACATGTATAAAAAGCACAAAAAATCTTAATAACATAGGCACAAAACCCGCACAAAACAATAACAATAAAAGGGCAACAGTAATATCAGATGTATCATGTACTGCATTGTATATACTGCATATAGATACAGACTATATCTGTATAAACAGATAATGAGTAAATACATTGTGAAACAGACACGTCCAGGTGTATGTAGTGCTTGTCCATGCCAGGCTTGAAATATTAAAGCTAAGCACTTTAAGTCAGAAGTTAGTGTAATGAGTGTAGAGTTTGTGCTTTCAATAAAGTGAGAATTCTAGCATTGCCACCAAATTCACGATGCATTGAGTGACATAACATTCACAGGTATTAGACAAGAAGTTTCAAGGATAGATGTCAGGCTTAATGGATATATAAAATTAGGTGTCATCAGCACATAAGTGGAGATTTATGTCATATTTATGGGTAATATAACCAACAGACAACATAAAAATGAATGGACCAAGCACTAATCCCTGGGGCACTGTGGACTTAATGGTAGAAAGAAATTGGGTGGTCTAATTGCAAAGTGCGTGTCACAGCAGGTGCTCAAACCACAGATACTCAATAATTGCTCGACTAGTCTTTCAGCTTTCTTTATTTTCCCTACTTTAGTAATGATATTATATGATACATAATAATACCAAACAAGGACCTTTAAGTCAGAAGTGCAATGAATGTGCAGTTTGTGTTATGTGGTTGACTTTTTTGATAAGAATTCCAGCATTACTTTGACCAAACTAAAAGCAATTGGTTGAACCGCTGCAAAAGAAATCTCACAGTATTTTGCATTCAGGTGCATTGAGTGAGCTGACATATGCCTCTGAGGTATCAACAGTTTCAAGGCTAGATGTCAGGCTTAATGGGTACATATAATTGAATGTCATCAGTGTAGAAGTGGAGATTTATGTCATTTATGAGTAGTATAACCAAGAGACAACATAAAACCTAATAGTAATGGGCCAAGTGCTGATCCCTGGGGCACTCTATACTTAATAGATTGATTTGAGGTGGTGTCATTGCAGACGTCAGATATCACCTATGTGACAATATACCAGAAGAGCCAGACATCTGCACTGGCAAAGTTTAGAACTCCTGCAATGTTCCACTACTTTTTATAAAGTGACCCATACTTTCTACAGTTGAAAATGTCTCTGAATAGTTGAAATAGAATACAACTTTCTTTGATGCTAGGCTTTATAGATTTCTAACATATTGTTTCTGAATTAAGACAATTATTACAGCAAAAAGAAAACAGTTTTGTATCTAAATATAGTTTTCTATCATTAACTATTTTTTTCTCGTTTGATACTCTTACTTACTGTCTTCCTTTATAACACCTGTGTGTTTTGTAGAAGGCAGTGTCTCCTCAGCCTGTCTCCCAGCCCAAAGTACCACAGGCTCAACCGCGCCCCTCACCTCAGGGTAAGAACTTAACTCCTTGCAGTAACAAAGGTGATACGATTTGTTTTTTATTGAGAAATCAGTTTTCTTTATATCCAAGTCTAGACGTATGTATTTGGACAGTATTTGAATGTGATTGCTGCTTTTGTTTTTCTCCTGTAGGTGGTCCTCAGCAAAGTCCCCCATCTCAGCAGCGCCCACAGCCTCAAGGTCAACCTCCTGCACAGGCCCAGCAATCTGCTGCAAGCCCTGCTACTGGTGACCCTAGTGCCCAGGCTAAGGCTAACCAAGGACCTGCACCCCAGCCACGGCCACCAGGTCAGGGGGCTCCTCAAGGCCAGAGACCTGCTTCTGGTCAGGGCTCTCCCCGAAGCCAGGGAGGTTCACCTCAAGCTCAGAGGCAACAGTCTGTCTCTCAGCAGCAGCAGAAATCGTCTGCTGGAGGCCCTGGCCAGAAACCTCAAGCAGGCCAACCAGGGCAGCAGAGGCCTGCCCAGCCCCCTAGGCAGCAGTCACAGGGGGGTGCACAGCAACAGAGGGCTCCTGGCCAGCAAGGTCGTCCTGGACCACCCACCACCCAGCAGCCCCGACCTGCAGCTCAAGGACAGGGGGGCCCAGGAGGACGACCCCCGCTGCAGCAAAAGCCTCAACCCCCACAGAAGCCAAGTCAGGACAACCCGGCTATGGGCGGTTCTCCACAACTAAAGTAAGTAATTGTATATGATAAATGATTTGGGATCAGTCTCCTCTCATTTTTCATAAAATTAACATTACAGCTGACCTGAACAGAAGATCCTTTCTTACTTTTTGCCTGCACTGAGATATGCATGCCACATAGGAAATCTATTCAGTGATTCACCCGAATGTGCATGATTTATTGATTCTTACATTTTCAGTCCTTCAGCAGCCGTTTCACAAAACATTTCAAATTATCTGTCGCAACATTTTCTGGGACACAGGTGACCAAATTCTCTAAATCCTACTTTTACCTACTTAAATCAGTTAACTCTTTGTAGCAAGCATGGGCAGAAAAATGTTTTGTGTAGGATTTAGTTGTGGTACACACTGGATTTTAAAACAAATTCCTACTATCAACTATGTTGTCAAATGAAAAATATAAAACATTTAAGATTTAGATTTGTGTTGTACTCCTGCCTGAAAGATATTTGAAAAAAAGATAAAGCTAAACTCAATAACAGACCATTTATTACTACTCACAACACATTTTGATTTAGAAGCTATCAAAGCTGTATAACTACACTCACATCTCACATCAGAATCTTTCACAGCAAAAAAAATCTGTATGATTGCTTCAACCTTAGTGATCAATACATTCTCCAGCTAGTGGTTTTCACAAATAATCCTCATAATCCTGATTTTGGATTATATTAATTAGATTACATCATGCTCTTTTGCAATAGACACATAAAACACTTGTCATCAATCCCTGATAAAACATGCATCACTTTGCATCCAGAAAAGTCATTCACTATTCATATCATATCAAAGCTACCTTGAAATGATAAGGTAATACTGAATGACCATAGAGAAGGAATGCGCTTTTATGATTTTTTACTGAGCCTTTTCTCTCCTGTCTCTCTCTCTCTCTCGATTTCTTGCCGTGCTCCAATCTTTTCATTCCATGGGTTTGCTGCATGACTTTAATAGCCTCTTCCTCTCCTCTATTGCCATTTTCCTCTCTTTATAGCAAGTCCCAGTCTCTTACCAATACCTTCAACATTCCAGAAACCCCAGCGCCACGAGCCAGCCTTAGCCAGGATGAGGTGAAGGCCGAAACCATACGCAATCTACGCAAATCTTTTGCCAGTCTCTTCTCAGACTGAGACGGCATAAGCCCCCCTCCCCTCTTCCTGACAGAAAGATGGACAGACAAACTGAAGGACAGATTCCCCCAACAAACAAGGACCAACAGGATGCCGTCTCCAATTCATGTGCATTGACCCTGATATGAAAATGTGCACACTTGTCACACTCACTGCCTAAAAAATCTTTTAAAATGAACAAAAAGTAGAACACAGTAAATTAAGGCACTGATGTCTGAAACATTCCTTGCCTCGCCTCAAGCTTAAGTCATTTACTCATCGTGTCGCACAAAACAACACCACACAAAAGCCTGTATATGCATGAACACATACACAAAAATAAGAAACAAAGCAAAACAATACTGCTCCCACTTGTTTGTTGGTGCCGTAAAGTCATTGTGATCTTTATGTTTGAATTTTGGTTGGTTTGCCGACCAACAAAATAAATTAAGGGACTGTACGAAAATTATTAGGGTGGGGATGAGTTTTTTTCCTTTTTTTTTGGTTAAATGTATTTTATAACAAAGCAAGGCCCTCATCAGTGTTATTCAATAAAAATAAGTTATAGCAAACATTTCAAAGTAGTGAAAATAAAGCCGATCTCTATTTTTAAATGAAGAGCTGCTAAGAGCGGCTATAAATACAACTTAGAGTCGCAAAATGGAAGAAGCAACAGCACTGTGCTGAAGGCCTTGTGCACTGCACTATTTTTACCCTGCCCCATATCTTCTGCATATGGCAGAATGCACCTCCATGACACACATTAAAAACCTTTTAAAATCTTTTTTATTTAACCATTTTATAGCCTTTTATCTAATTAATTGTGCAAATATAAAATATGAAATAAAATAATACATGGGGTAAAAAAAAAAAACTACCATTCCTTTAGAAAAAATAAAATTACAATACCCTCCCCACTGTCTGACCTCCACCCCCAATTTTTGTACAGTCCCTAACTCAGCACAGCCGCGCACATAGGATGTCCAGTGTTAAGCTATTGCTAGATCTGTTTGAGCTGTTGACCGCTCATGGTGATGTCTTAGCTGCATGCCAACAGGAGGCAATGGTTGCATTTTCCAACCCCTGACATTGGCGCTTGTAACTGTGTTGTCACATGTAGTTGAATTAGTTAGTAGAGTAACCTAGTAGGTGTCGTGAGTATGTTGTTGCTGCCCACTTTTCTTCCCTTTTTATGTCGCACAAGAACAAACGCCTGAAAGCTCTCCACTTCGTAAGCATGCCTTACACAGACACGTGCATCAGATCAAATGGAGTTGTCTCAGGGATGTCCAATTGATTGTGACACTTGTATGTGGGTGAGGGTCTTCCATTACAGTTTATTGTGGTTGTTTACCTATAGTGAAGGAAAAGCATGCATTTCAATGAGGTAGAATGTTTTTATTATTTCAAATGCATTTGCACACAGAGTATACTGCAAAATTATACTTGAATACAGTGGCACTGACTGATGTATGAAGTCTATATTTTCAGGTTTATTCGTCTGCCACTTGACAAAGCAACAACTCGGTGGTCCCACCCTGGGGTGCTGCTGTGTCTGTGACAGGTGTAGGATACAGCATAGGCAGGGTTGGCAACTGTTCAGGTACAGTTAGTGGAAAATTAGATTATTTACACAGACAGTTTCATTTCATATTCCCTTGATTTCAAAGCAATGTAATGTAAAAACCTCTGACTGTAAACCAGCTACAACTTTAGTGGATGTATAGTACGTGGATTATGTCAGGGTTTATCAGTTGGTTAGTGCATTTGATTTTGCACTAAAGTAACATGTAGAGTTTCTGCTTCCATAAATGCCTCCTGGTTTTCAACGGGTTCATGGTCTGTGAGAAGAGGCTTTACAATAAAGAATGGAATAATGTTAAAGTATAGGAATGTCAACTGTGGGATGCACCTCCGCAGTAGATTTAGCACTTCTTGTCACCCCTCCTTCGCACAACCCTTTCTTCGATCACTACTCTGAAAATCCGAACTGTTACTAAAAAAGGATTCTGTTTCCAGGCACTAAAAATGTCTTCCAGAAGGAGTGCTTTCCATTCGAATGTTGACGTAGTATGGCAATATCATGCTTTTTAGAGAAGACCCAATAGCCAAAGGTATAAAGGAGTCCTGGTCCCCCTGCAGATTCTCCATGCTGCCTGTGTTTATCAGTCTATTTGTGTAGCCACAGTGACCCCTTGTGCTCAATGGTGCATAAATGTGTGAATGTTGTTCTGTAACTGGTCAAACCAAATAGATGTGTTGTACAGAGCTCTGAGTGATGCAGATCGTCACCTTTATCTCCTGCTGCTATTTGTGCTTGTTGATATTATGTGAGTCTCTAAGCTCTTCAGCTTTTGTTTTTAAAACTTTAGCAATTTTGTTCCAATTATTTTGTACATTCTTCATTTTTTACTATGAGGCAGGACTATCTGGGGCTTGTATGTTTATGCATTAGTGATTCAGGGCTTCATTTTTAAATTTTACAGTGACTCAGTGTCAGTACGTGACTGTCAGATATATTGTGGCACAGCCTACTGCCAAGAAAATCAGTAAGAGCAGCCTTATGTAATTGTTACACTGAGTGTGTAATTTATGAAAATGAGCCATCATAATTAGCATGGATGGTTAACTTTAAAAAATGTCATTCTGTCACTCAGAGGTTTCTTCGCCATATTAAGACGTACCATTTTCCATGGCACCTCTTGAGACTGACAGGATGAGCTGTGACAGCAATGCAAAGAAATAGTTTTATGTATTTATGTTTTTGATATTCACAGATTTTTTCTTACATTATTTATAGTGGATATATTTGACCGTGAATGTACATTATTTTCTTTGTTACAGCTAGTTCTATTGTTTTCTAAATGCATTGTATAATCATTGTGAAAAAGATTAAATCCTTACAAATCTGAGTGGAACTGATTGTCAGTCGATGCCTGCCGGATTTAAAAACATGCATCATAAATGTAAGTGCAAGAATCAAACAGCTGAGGTTTTTGTTAATCAAAAAATAAGATACTGCATACTGTAAATCATGGTGGATTATTGAATTAAATGTAAAAAAGAATATTTGATGTTATATGCAATGTAGCTATATTATGTGAAAATGAGTATGTTATTAAAACATGCACAAATCTAATAAAGTCTATGACCAACAGTGGCTGTATTTGGGTTTGCTGACTGAATATAGTATAGTAACATCCTCTTATGTTGTTCCTCTGATGTTTGCACCCATAATGTAGGTTTTCTACGTTTAAAGAGTGTTGTATGTTGTGTGGCAAAACCATAAAAACATGTCTTATCTGACAAAAAAAAACATGGTATGAAATGGATGAAATGCATGTTGTAAACTATAAAGGGAGCACACTTTGCTCAGCTGAACAGTGTTTTGCACAGTAGTTGTAATAGCAGTCGTACTAATGCAACCACAAGGTGGTGTGGGCCTGCAGTCTCACTACCATAGCCTTCAATTCTGCACAAGATTAATCAGGTTATATAATTTGTTTCACACTGTTGTAATGAGGACACACTTTAAGTCTCTATCTGTTTGATCAGAATCATTCATTCAATTACTTACAATATGTGCATTCCAATTTAACAGGGAGATAGATAGATAGATAGATAGATAGATAGATAGATAGATAGATAGATAGATAGATAGATAGATAGATGTCAATAAAAATATTCTTATTGCTACAGTTCAACTGCTTAGGATTTCTACTTTCTAGAAATGAAATGTTAGTGAGTCACAGACTATTGAGCCATTATTATGTCTGCAGAGACGAGAGTTTTACTGGAGTTTGGTCTTCCATAAACTCAAATGAGGTCTAATTTTCATTGGGTCTTCTGAGACCCATTTTAATTACACAATTCTGAGTCATAATCACACAGAAAACACAAATACCAATGTGTGCATAATCCTATTAAACAAAACTAATCTGGCACATACGAACAAATGGCTCCCTGAATGCCACTCATCATACTTTGCCTATGTTTTCTCCGTACAATAATGGCCTAATTCATGGTGTTTTGAGGAAAAACACATGCATTATGTTCCAATATCTTTTGGGCTTTCATTAGGGCTGCAAATCTGAATGGGGCAGCTGCAGCTGAGAGACACCAATAGTATTATGCATCCCCAGTCAAAAGAATGACTGTTTTTTACAAATCAATGACTGCATCTACAGCTGAAACAAAGACCTGAAAATTGAGACGCTTTACTTTCCCTCATCCAACTATAAAATGACCTGCCCTGTCAAACTATTTTGGCTGGTAGGTTTTATACAATGAGGGAGCAAGCTCAATTTTAATCACCAAATGGATCAATTTCTTTTTCCTTTGAAAGTTTTCATTGCCGACAAAAGTGTCTGGACTGCAAAATCCAATTTGCAGGCAGGATGTTATATAGCAGCTCGCTCCCGAAAGGTCAGTGTGGTTTTTAAAGCTCTGTCGCCTTGCCTGCACTTCTTATCTAGCAGCCCAGTGGTCCGTACTATCCTCTCCTGACAAATCTAGGTTTGGTTAGCAGTTCAGATGCTCATCTGATCAGGAAAGATGATTTCATGTTGAACGTGTTCTGGAAGATAATCACATTCAACTTTTTTGGCATCTAATATTGTAAGCCAGCATCAATCACATCTCATATATACTTCACATTTGAGCCTACACTGGCAAATGAATGCCTTTAGTATCTTGATTGAAAACAGCAGGCTGTTATTGGACAGTTTATCACTATCTGGCATACTAAGCCATCCATTCACAAGAATATGATGAATAAATGTGACTTTTTCCCACTATAGTCACACACGTAATCATTCTAATACAACTTCAGACTTTGCAGGTCACAAATAAAGGATTCAAGGGTATTGCCAGCAATATTCTTGTTCTGTTACGGACAGAGAGAGTACAAAAGGGGAGGGGCACTCACGACTTCTTCTGTGAGCCAGGATATTTCTAGAGCTGACCCATTTAAACAGCTCGGAGAAGCTGCGAGCACAGGTGCATCTGGATGGCTGCAACTGCCATCCTGAATGCGTAATTACATACATTAAGTGTCAAAACTGATTTGCACATATAATTTGATGGGTGGATGTGCAAACTACGCAGGATTTCAGTGCGAAGTATTCCAGGCATGGGGGTCAGATCCCATTAGATTCATTCATTTCAAATACTTAAACAGAACCAAGTGTTCTCACTCATTCTTATTCTTTTATGAGGGGAAAAGAATAGCAAATGTCAGCCCACAATTAAGTTGTTTTATTCAACAATCAGATAGTAGCTTTTGAATAGAAAGCAGTGGCTGTTACAGCTATTATACATGGCCTACAGCCTTGCACAATTAGTGCAACTCAGTACTGCTTTGCATTGTGCTGCTGTGGGATGGAGAGGAGAGTGAGAGATATCCATATTTAGAAGGACCTCATTGATTCTTCCAAACTGAGGCACAAAAGATTTGTTGTCCGTCCAGTCTTGAATAGCGGGACCTTAATGACAGCCCTGCATAATAAAACCTCCTGCTGACCTCAATCAGTGTTTGAAAATCTGATGAAACTGAGCCAGAGCATTTTGCTCCGACTGTAATATAACTGCATTCTGTCTCTGCGTTGTTACATAACAATATCACAGTGACAATGCACAACCACAAATAATTCACACCATCAGGAGCCCTCGGAAAGAAACTGCGCCCACCAAGAGGCCCGTCCCTTCATTCCAAATGTGTTTCCCCTTTAATAAACTTGCACACATGACTGAGTGATTCCTTAGCCAAAATGGCAGATGATGAAGGATGAGAGAGGAGTGTGTAGTAAAGATTTAATTAAGACTCACCATGGGATGCCTTACTGTGACTCCAGAGACCAGGACAGAGGAGTTTGTGTTTGCTCACTGCAGCTGTGAATAATATCTACACTATTCTTATTTTGACCTACATGTACTGAGAGGAGGATCTGAGAATATGCCCACATGAGCGCAGGTCTTTCTTCCTGCTTTATTTTCACCGTGAGGCTTCCAGAGGGGGTCTCCTTATGGTAAACCTTATGTTCACTTTAAATTATCGGTCTCTGGTGGAGATAATCAGGGACATAAGACATATCTACACTGAACGTGTCCACAAATCGTACAGTGGATGTGAAGCTGCACTGCTGAATCCCTCCCGCGGCGCATTTGCAGATTGCTCAAGGTTTACAAGCAATTTTCGCCTTGCTTCGTCTTTGCCTTGTGACGTAGATTTTTATGGTCTCCATGGAAGACTCCCATCAGCACTTTACTTCATTCCCTTTGAAATCAATTCAGTCTCTTTTGCTCCTACTCAGTGTGGGTTACCATGGATACCTCTCCCAAATGGTTTGGCTTGTACATGAATTTGTTTATGAGTGTTACTTGGAGTGGATTGGAATGTTCTTTTTTTTGTGCAGCCAAAGTAAACATAATTTGCTAATTAAGCATAGCAAAATTACACTCAAATGGTTTTTCTATTCTATTCTATTCTATTCTATTCTATTCTATTCTGCAAGTGTCAAGATACGGAGGGCTCCATTTGGTGAAGGTTTCTCCGAGGAGTGATCATGAAATCACTTCTTTTACAAACATTTTCCACCTTTCCAACATGCAGTATCAGCCACATGAGGACACCAGTAAGAGTTCCTCCAGTGCACTCGGGAAAAGCCTAACAATCCGCTGAATATAATCTAGTCTGATCCACCAGGAATCAAAGCTATGCCAACGTGGCTTCTTCATTTCCCCGTTGAGCCAAAAAAGCATCCAAATACTTCACTTGGCTACATCTAAATCCTCATAAAAACACGCGGTCTAAGTGGTGTGCGCCTTATGTGAACCGCCACAACTGTAAATCGTGTCTGGGGCAAGAAAGTTGGCAGGAGAGGATTGAGTGGTTTAATTTGTTGAGGACTTAATCAGGGTTCATTTGGGATTAAGGGAAGACTGGGTGCATCTCCCACTGAGTCTCTAGATTCACTGCTGCTGCATTTCACTCCCCTCTTGAGTCCACTGAATCGGAGGATCTACATATTTCATACGGGGCACGAAAGATCTCAAGGAACCACCCACATTCAAACGTATGTCTTTCCAAGAGGTCTAATTCTGGATGTGTGAAATATTTACCACTGCAGGGACCGTAGACAACATCCCAAGCATCCCTGGGGATTTCTCGTGAAACAGTCAAGCTGAAATGTGTTTGCCTCAACATCTCTGTCTAATGTGTTTTCCTTGTTTCCTCTCACATATCATTACAGTCCAAAATAACCGAAGCTGAGAGTTGCTTTGTATTAGCCTGCCACACTGGCTATTTTGGGCTGGACTTTGTAAGCAATGGGGCTTGGCTGTGTGTGCATCCCAGCATCTCTTATGTAATTCCCTCCAATGGGAACAAAGAAATCAGAGAGAAAGTTTGTCAAGAGTTACTTAATCTTACATAGAGTTAATTGGAGACAGCTGGAGAACTGAAGGTTGTTTACTGTGCCAGCATGAGCGGGGAACAGTGCAAGAACAAAGCAGAACGTCCAGATTCTTCCTTATGGCTCATTATGGCTGGTATGTCAGAGCAGCATGAAAGCTTGTGTGAGCATAGGAGGCAGAGTGAAGCAGAGTTCTGTTGTTACTTCGTGGTGGTGTAACTCTGATTGATCCCTGTCAGAGGGGCCTCTAATCAACAGAGAGCCATTGATTTCCTCTCCACAGAGCCTACGAGGTGCCTAAGACACCTGCTAGCAGCCAGCTGACAGACACTTATGCCTGCTAACCAACAGCTGACACAAACTGATGCCAATGCACTGTGCTGGAGAGGGTGAGTCACACATGCTCAGATAGATCCCACTCTCAGGGATGTTGGATGCTGCACAATGTGAGATCCACTGTACTGTCATTCTGAATCATATCTCATGCACGTGGTATGTCACAGATGGAGTCTCGGTTAGCTATGGTGTTTTGTAACCAGGATGCAGGCAGGAGAAGTATAGATAACAAAAAAATCTGCTGTGCGCAAGCGGCGCAAAGCTGTCCTTCCTGTAACAAAATGAGCACTGTCATAGCTAAGTATCATTGCGATCTTCAGCCTGATCAGCACAGTTCGTCTGTGGTGATTTCTATCTGCCGTGAGAGTGCTTTAGTAAGCAGTTTTCCAGCGGCAGTCACATGCTCCGGGGCCGGGGCTCACAGCCAGCTGTCCCCATCATCAATTCAGACAATGCAGAAGGCTGTGGCGAGGTGAGACTTCGGGGCAGATGTGTGTGGCATGGGGCAGGCGAGAGAAAGCACAATGTCACTGTGTTTTTCATCTTGCAAGAGCGTAAACAACAAAGACGATGCGTAAGCAAGATCATGTTGTATCAAAGAAGATTTCTGTGCTGTATAAGGGAATTTTATTCTACCTGAATGTACTGTATGTACAATGTCTGAGATGTTCTACAGACTCAGGTCAAGTTTTGATAAATAGTCATCACACTACAATGATTAGTTGATTAATCGATCAATAGAAATGTAACTCTTTTTTTTTTAAATCATTGAATAACCTTTATGCCATTTTCAAACAAATGCTGAACATTTTCTAGTTCAAGCTTCTAAAATGTAACAATTTGATGCATTTCTTTGTCACACATTATGAATGTTTTTGTGTTTTGGCATATAAGGCATTTGAAGATGTTACTGTGCTATGGGATATTATAACTGTTTTACACAATGCTCTGACATTTTATAGACAAGAAATTAAGGTGGCACATTCATGGATAAAGAAAATAATCCTTACTTGCAGCCTCACATCACTCATCTACTTCCATCACAGTAAAGTACAGAATTACAGTATGTTGGCACAGGACTGCGTTCCCTCATCACCATGTCTAATGCATGTCCAATAGTGTAGGAGGAGGACCAGATGTGACCAGTCAAGTGTAGGAGAGGCCCAGTTCTGCAGGCAGTCTGTCTGTAAACTTTCTAAAAATGTAAATGTCATAAAGTGCCTCATGATGAGCAGAGCTGATTACAAACCACCTTCCACTGCAGGATGAGCAGACAGCCAGCAGCTCCCCCCGGAAGTGTCCATGCAGTCGTCCTCGGGGCTCCATATTCAGAGACGAACAAGAGACCGCATTGCCGAGACTGAACACCCACCCCAGCCTCCCCCCAACACCCCCCGACTCCCCCCCCTCCCAATAAAAACACGCACAACCACGCCCCCAGAGGCACGCGCACAAGCGCAGGCTGAGACACACCTCCTCCTTTCCCTCCATCACACACACACACACACACACACACACACACACACTCTCAGGAAGGCATAAGCGAGTGTGAGAGCGTCGCTGGTGAAGCAGACAACATGTAAGGCAGCATGAAGGACGGCTCTGCTCCGGGAGGCTCACGGCAGGTGCGGTAGCGGTGAAGCTGCACCTCGGGAGGCGCGGGTGGAGGTGGGGGGGGGGACAGCCTGCCTGCTTCACCATGTCCATCGCATCCGATCAACTCACTGGCGACACGGTAAGGCCCCTCGTCCACTCGCGAAATCTTACATCTCCAAAAAAAAAAAAAAAAAACTTCGCCGAACTCATTCTCCCTTTCTGCTCCCCGCCCGGCCTCTGTCCTGATCTGAACCCTCTTGTTTCCCCGCAAATGATGTCATTCATTCCGGGCACAGAGGCATTAGGTCAGCCACAAAGGATGGAGGGCCGTCCGTGCCGCAGCACCAAAATAAAAGGGGTGCTCAAGTGCGTTAGAGCAAGTATTTGGTAACGCTTGAGGGCTGAATGCGCCTCGGTGTGGCCCCGCAGGGAGGCGAATCTGCATCACGTTTGTTATTGTCTGGAAAACCGTGCAAAGAGAGGGTAGAATACAGTCTTCCAAGTTGTTTTTAGTTCCAAATAGGCAAGCAGATGAATAGCCCAGTTAATATGAGAGTATGCGTAGAACCATAACCTCATAGCCTACAACAAAAATATAGCACAGTAAAATGCTGCATTTGGGCTCTATAAATAGGCTCTTACAGGCATATGAATGGTACATCCTTTATAAACACCAAGATAAAGTCGCACTTGTGTGTCACAGATGGATTTTGCCCACACAGAGAACATTAGAGCAGTTCACATTGATCATGAGTCCATGTTTTCAGACTGTGCCCTCAGTGTGCAACTCCAGGAGTGTTTCATGGTTTTCTTTGCTGTGTGCTGTAGCCATGGAGACAGTATGTGGCATGTGGTTTTATACAGCTAGAAAGTGTAGTCCTTCTATTGAAGAACAGCCTTAGAGCGTGAAGATGAGTAGAGGAAGGAATGCATCCATTAAGTCAGTCTAAGCATCTTGTTTAATCTTAAAAACAAATCTGCTATCTTATCTTTCTCTTATCCTTAATCCCAGATCAGTGTGATCAAACACATTAACGCTTTTCTACAGAAAAAGCAGCATAACATTTCGTCAGGGACATAGAAGTGCGTGTGCGGTGGTCAACAGTGACCTATTGTAGACCTAGATAATTAATTCTGATGTTTTATTAATGGCTTAAGGCATTTATATAATGTAGCAACCCTATTGGGGTTTGTGTATTAGCTGTGCAGAGCTATTTTTACTGTATCTTTGCAAACCCATCGTTACAACAATAGTGGGAGCTATTGTTCACAAGCAGCAATGTATTAAAGCTGTGTGGTAGATTGTGTTAGTGAACTACTCCAGGGCTTCACAGACCTTTTCATGTCAAGGACCCCCACAATAGATACACATTAGACCACAGACCCCCAATTTAAGAGGATGTTGTCTAAAAGGAATCTCCTCTAAATATTGTTTTTAATCTTTAGGTTTGAAAGTAATAAAGTCTCTTTAGTCAAACAATGATCAAACTGATCCCCGGACCCCATTTTGAAAACCACTGAACTACTCAAACACATCCTGCACCTTTTATGCCTATTTTTATACTGTACAATGAAAGGAAGCCTTGCCATCTTGCTGACTCCTCAACTCATTCATTTAACCTCTATGATGATTGAAAGTAAGATGGAAGTAACCCTTACCCCTATTTAACGGAATATAGTAACTTCAGTACCCCCAAGTGACCCAGAATTAGTCCCAAATTTTATTCATATTATAATGACATTCAGAGCCGTTGATTAGACAATAGTGACCATAGTCCCAATGGTGATAGAAAAACTGGTAATAGTACGATATGTACTGTACTTTCCCCCAGCAGACTCTTGGGAAAAAATTTTCTGCAGGAGTTGAAAAGATGGGAAGATGTGCTCGTATACTACAGTGCATTTTGTTCCTCCATTGTTACAACAAATATGGAATTGTGAAAGCCAAAGTGAAACCTTTGAATTACTTTTTCATCTGAAACACAAAGCTGATACTGTATATACAATTGTTATCCTAAATTTAGGTGATTCATCTTGCTTAAACATTGATCTGGTACTAATTTGCAGTGTTTTACTCACTGATAACCATTCATGCAAATCTAGATTTCTTCTTTTAGAGGTATTTTAAAATGAAATAAATAATCATTTTATGCAACTGTAGCTGCCGTGTTTCTTTTTATAAAGGGGAGAAAAATACACACACAGGTGTCTTTGAAACAAAAAAAATCTAAGGGGCCAAGCTAAAACAGTGAATAACAGTGTTGGTTAGTCTGTCGAGGTTGGTCTTGTGTGAACAGACGTGATATTTAGGTGTGTTGTGGAGACATGACAGCGAGATGGCTGGTCAGTGCTCTCTCTTCACGATGAACAGATGGTAACTCAGGGTTAGCCTGTGGGTGGGTGCCAACAAGAAAGCCCATGTGTGTGTGACATATAAATCCATTGTTGGTTTTGTCCATGATAATATTTGAAGGCCTAAAAAAATACTCTGAATGTTCTTTAAGCTGAGATTAACAGCAGTTGTCTGTATATTATTTATTTATAAGATATGAATAATTCAAACAGTAAAACACGGAAATGCTTTGTTGAACTGCATTCTTTGAGAATTTAATGGTATAGTCACTGTCTAAAACTCAAATGAACTTTTAATAATAATTTTGTTTAGATTTTAATGTCTTTAATATGTAATTTAATGGTAGACCAAGACATACTACAGTAATGCAGTAAAATTACTATAATTTGTCTTAGATTATAGGCTATTTAATAAGAAATAATTATCTTGTGATATTAGCTTGTGATATTATTGGCTCCAATTGTGTTAATCTTTCAAACAACTGTTTGAGTAAAATTCAAAATAAAGATTTTTTTATATAATATATAGTATAATTTCATGCAAGTAATGTTTTTTTATTTTCTTTTAATAAAAGAATGAAGTATGGTAGTATAGTTGGCAGTGAAAGATGATGTGAATAGCTAATTTTAGCATGCTGTGTTTCCAGTCTCATTAGAATTAAAAATGAACTCAAATAATGACTGGTTGTCACATTGCTCGGATACAATGTTGTATTGTGGCTGGTATGAATTTAACTTGGTTGGTAAATGAGCAGCTACATCTGTTACATTTATACACAGTCATCACTTACATTCAGATTCAGCCCTATAGATGGTTTTAAATAAAAAGTATTAAAGTGATTGATGATTGATTGTTACGCAACTTAATTTACAAACAACTTACAGTCTGCCTCTTTTTAGCAGAACATTTACCCCACATCTATACATTTAAATTGCATTGAAGTGTATTTGTTTTCATTTATCTCTTTCTTTCCACAGGCTGTGTTGATCTTGAATCACACTGAATGGAGAGCATTGAAGTTCCTTTAAGATGACACGGACGCATCCCCCTGATATACTGGCATCGACTCTATATCGGGACTTTACTCTAAATCCCCTTACTGACCACTCCATTTCTCTCCACTCCTCCCGGCAATGTGACTTAAAAATGATCGACAAACCAGAAATCATCAACAAAAGACACTGCCGTAGCTTTGACTTCATTGAGTCACTGGATGACCCGCAGTCCTTCTCTTCCTCAATGGAGTACCCTTACAAGAGGACTGAGCATCAGACATTAAACAAAGATGTTATGTGGAATGGACTAGATCAACCGGGGCACCTTCGCTTTTCATCTCCAGATCTTTTCAACACCAGGCAGTTCCAGCAGCACACCACCCAGGACAAAACCAGCCATCTTACATGGACAGATTCTAAAAAGAGAACAAGATCTAAAAGCGCTCCAAGAATTAAGGCCACCCTCACTCCTGTGCCAATCTCAGTATCTCCTCCAGGAGCCGGGAAGGGGAGGGATGCACCTCAGGCTGCATCAGATACCTTAAGGACTTCTGAAACACATCGAGAATCGTACTCTTCAAACAGGGCTTTTTTGAATGATGTGCATCCTATCAAACTGCAACCTCATTCTCCCCTCTATGTCTCAGACTGTTTTGAGGAGGATAAACCAGATAAACCAGCCATAACCCCTCATGTCAGGTGCCGTGTGGACATTAAACCAGATGCTGCTGTACTGCAGCACACATCTAGACAGGTTCCCAATGTACGGACTGATCATCTTTGGCAGAGATACTCCCAGGCCAGTAGCAGTAGAGGTTTGTATGTACCACGACAGATTGTCTCCTCACCAACGCCCACTCCAAGCGAATGCTACAGTGGAGATTTTAGACAAGGATACCACTATACCACCAGCATGTCACCCATCTCTTACCAGCATCTAGACATGCACAGAATGCCATCGCCAACAGCACCATATCTGAGTCAAGAACAAAGAGCTTATTCAAATCCTAACATACCAACCAAATTTTTCTATACAGAGGACCCTGTTCGGTACCCAGTCCATCCCTATTCTAGAGCATACTTTCAGGATGATCGGTCCAGTCTAACCAGCCATGGAAGTACAATGACCAGTCAGTATGATCCAAGGACTCGATGGGTGCACACCCTTCCTGTCAGGTCGTATTACACAGACCACCTTTCCAACAGAGAGCCAACACACTCTGTATATAGTAGACCTTACTCCACAAGTGAGGCAGGGTCATACTTTTCCCAAACTCCACTATCTAGACCTTACTATGGAGAGGACAACCGGTTCAATCCATACCATATGAGTAGCTCAAGGTTGTTTTATTCAAAACCGTACAGCTCTCCCGAGGAGCAGTACTTTCCATCAAGGCCATATCATACTGAGGGTCGCCGACGCCCTCGGATGTCCCAGGCCTTTTCAGATGACTGGTATCGCTCAAGTATATCTGGATACTCTAACCAGTCCTCTCAGCACACACCACCGAGAGTGAGGCAAGACCCCAGTATACCCCCATGGTTTACTAACAGCTGTGTGGAGACAAGTAGACTTGGAGCAGAGGTCAAAAACCACTCCAAGTCTTGGGACAATATTTTGTATCCACGGCATGACAGAGAGCAATCAGTACCCCGTGGACGAAGCTATGAGAACCTGTTTTACCAAGCAAGGCATGGAGCGGCCTCTGATATTACATCTCAACCTGTCATACTTAACCTCTCAAGTTCACCGAGGCGCTACGCTGCGCTTTCGCTCTCTGAAACCTCGCTAGAGAGGGGCTCAAGCAATCCATGGAGGAATACCAAGAGTGGGCACTGGTTTGTAACTCCTGAGATTACCATAACAGACAACGACTTAAATGCAGGCAACAGCAAGCGGCGTGATGTGCACTCTGTCAGCTGGGATTTGTTGGATGGTGAAAAGACGCCATCCCCGAAAGTAGTGCATCAGAAGCAGTCATCCAACACAGCGGACATAAGCAAAGACAGGAAACACAACAACTTCTCCCTCCAGCAGAGTCTAGAGCAACTGGACGAACTCTTAGCTGATTTGGTTGTTGATTACAAACCACCAACGTGCAGAAAGTCAAGCGAAGACCTTTTAGACCAACTAAAACAGTTGATTACTGAAGACGATGACAAAGACAGAGGATCTTCTGGACTTGAAAACTTAGGATGTCTGAACACACAGCTCCCATCCTCCAAATCCAGCCCTGACACAATCAAAGACCCTGATAGTGGATGTGATGCTTTACAAAGGAGTGCAGAAGAATGTTCTCCAGACCACAGCACAGATGAAGATGACACTATGGTGTGTGCTAACAAGAAGTGCAACCGGTCTGAAAGCATGTTCAATGCCTGCTTGTACTTCAAATCTTGTCACAGTTGCTACACCTTTTACTGCTCACGAAACTGTCGCAGGGATGACTGGGAGACCCATAAAGAGACCTGTCTGTACGGTCGTGTCAACAGTGTGTGTCGACACACTCTTAAGTTCTGCAGAGAGAATTCAGAGATCCACAAAGCTTTCTCTCGCGTTGCTAAAGCTGGCTATCTCTCCAGAGGGAGAGGCGTTCTCTTTCTGGGTTTTGCTAATCCAGAGACAGCTGACAACTTCCTGCAAGTTGGGCTTGAAAGCCTCCTCATGTCTCCCACGTACTTATCTCTCAGAGAGCTGGATGGCTTCAAGGACAACCTAGGCGAGTACTGCAAGGAGCTGCAGCTTGCAGGTAATGAGTACGACCCCAATGAATGTTTCCTTCTGAATGTATCCGTAGCTGTCGGTGAACTAGTGCCTAACAGACCTTCACCAAGGGTTCAAGCACCAACAGTTCGAAAATATGCAAAGGTATCCTTGGCCTCCTCAAGCCCTGACAAAAAGGTACTCAAGAAGGATAGTGAAATGGAAACTCTCATCCTCACTCCGCCTCCGGGCACACCGGACATTGACAAAGAGGGGGAGGAGGGAAGAAAAGCTAGAGAGGTGTGCTTTGTCAATATCCAGCGTGAGCTCAGGACCAGAGGAGTCTTCCTTCGTCACGAGTACCCCAAAATCTATAATCAGCTGTGTGAGTTTGTGGAAAGCAACAAAAGGTTCACTCCAACTACAATTTACCCAATAGATAAGAGAACGGGGAAACAGTTCATGTGCATGATCATGGCTGCATCCGAGCCAAGAACACTGGACTGGGTGGGTACGCCTCATCTCTTGGATGATATTATATAGTATAGCACTAAATAGTAATGATAATGATGTCAGCACCACTAAATGTACATACTGTAAATACATAGTGTGGTTTAGCAAATTGAACATTGGTATGGAAATATGTGTACATATGTGACCAATCTCTCTTTCTGGCTCTTATTTCTCTCGGATGCCACACATACAAACACTCACACACACATACACTATATACACACATTTTTAAAGGTTGCCCTATGTTGTTAATGGCTTGTTTTGATCCTGTTGCACTCAGAAGAGTTAATAGCCTGCATGTAGACTAGGCACAAACCCAGTTATCCAGGTGTTTAAGATGTGAAAATGTATGATCTGTGCAGTTTCTGCAGACAATGTATGAAGCACACAATATTTATGGAGTACACATCTCATTGCCACCACATAATAGTAGGCACAGCCAGGTCTCATATTGTAACAGTCATCCACTATTGATTTCTCCAAAAATGTTATATCAGAAATTTATATTATAACTTGTCACAGTGGTTGTAATATTACAACTGTTTATTAGTACGTAAGTATTATTTCCTAAGTATACTGTAGTTGTGTGGGTATTTTTTTTATTATTATTGCTATATTAGTTATTGTTTGATAGACAAAGAAGTACAATCAAACCACCTATGTGTTTTACCACTTGATTAAGAATTTCAGTTGGAACTTATTTCATCTCGTGATAAGACTTGATGTCATTCTTGTATAAATTGCTTTGTTTGAAAGTGGCCTTCAGTCGAAAAAAAAAAAAAGCATTTGACACAAAGCAATGTATAGGTTTAGCTATTTCTAAAGGCTTGACAGCTCTTGACTTAGGTTGTTTGAACTACCATTGTAAATGAACAATTATTTTGCTCAAAGCATGTTATTTATATTCAGGTATTTTAATATTGATATTGCTTATAATTAAATTGATTATGTTAATGAGATACCATTTGATGCTTAGAAATGTAAGAGGTATATATATTGAATATTAGATCATTTGAACATCATGACCTTGAGACCTTATTGTAACTAATACCACAGTATGTTCTTAAACAATATGCAATAAAAGAGCAACCTTAACATCTATATTGTAAAATCCTATTTTATTATTAATATTGAATAATCCCTTGGAGCCAAGAGCTGCAAAGACTTTGCACTAAAACATAAATGATAAAATGAGAATGTTCCTAACACAGCTGCAGCACTGATATGATGATATGCCTGCTTCCATTGCCATTGTTGACTAATCTAAGGTTGCTCTTTTACTTGATTATATATATCTTTGTGCAAGACCTTCCTCAACTTTATATTTTGTGATGTTTATAACCCATATATATATAAATATATAATAAATGGAATTTAACAAGTGAACTCTTGGCTTTGCATTTCTCTTCCTCAGTATGCGTTAATATATCATTTGTGCATTTGAACAGAAGGGTAAATAATACAGTTCCCATCACTAGGATTGATACACACATTGATCAACGTGCCTGAAGACACGAGGACCTTGCCTGTTTTTCATACATTGTTTTATGACACATACAGAAGTATTCAAACAAGAAAAATATGAATCAACCCACTCCCTTAAAAGGCAGACATGTATGTATGTTGCATAAGAATAAGAATGTTTATTTGGCTTTTTATTAAGAGCAAAAACTGTATCAGAACACAAAATGCCAGTAGACTAATCTTTCAAAGTCTATTGATCAGATACCATCATGGCACCAAGATGCCAGTTTACAGTCATCATCTTTTACAAAATTACAGGATTAACTGTTTTAATAAAATGCAAGTAACGTTTTAAGACACAAAATGTAAAATAAATGAGTACATTTTGATGAAGACATGGTATTTGTCAGAACACTAGTGGTTGCTGCCTAATAAAAGCTAGAACAATAACTGTGTGCATTCCTCCAGTTCCTGTTTCATTGTCCTTTCTGCTGAGGCACTGGTTTGAGTCTTAAATTTGCTGATGCGTGGGAGATTCCTCTGTCCTTCCTAGTGTGCTGTAACATGTCTGATTCATGTTACTGTAACATGTTGCTTACTCAAGGATTTACAATGTTTTCTTCTGTTATTAGACCACCACCTAGTGGGATAATGCATGTATTACGTTTTTTAATCCATTATGAGCAGCACTTTACCCACAATTATGTCTATAATTTATTCAATTGGACCACACACAATCTCACACACGCACACGCACACACCTGTTTATTATTCATTAAGACAGTGTATTAATAATGCCTTATATTTGCATTCTGCTCTCTTTATTGAAAACTGTCCCTTCAAATTATCAAAATGAAAAACGTGAGGTCTTTTTGTTTAGCCTGTGTTATTGTACTACATTGTAATATTACACAACTGTCAGGGGATGAAGTTCGGGTAAATGTGCTGCGTCATTCTCCTTTTGAACCAGTGTAGCTCTGGATACTAAGAAAACGCACCTCAGTCAAAAAATGTGTTCCAATCCACTCAATTATGGACAAGCTTATGTTGACAGTGTAGTGTTTATATCACTCTTTTAATTTCCTGTAAATGTATAGATTGATATGATTTACCTGTAACTTTATAAATGAGAATGAAATGAATAGACAGTTGCATTCAAATGCATTAATAATATACACGCATTTGCTGAAGCATTATCTAATAGGTCAGCCCAATAGGTACACCATTTTTTATGTCAGGTGCCCACATGAACATATATTAATCTAAAGCTAATATGATGTTTCAACAGATTTAATTTAATTCAAGTGGATTTATTCCAAAGTCTTATTAGTTACGTAATGGCCTGTGTGAACAGGAGGAATGATTACAGCCAGCAAAGCCAATTTCAGTGCTCAAATGGGCAATTGATGATTGAAAAATTGTGAAACTATCCTTTAAACAACTTGAATATTTTCTTGTAACTCGGCAGCAGCCAAAACCAGGAGAGTACAGTAACAGAGTATTGTGAAATCAAGTTCAGTCAGCTTTATTTACAAAGAACATTTGAAAATATATTATGATGGCATAAAGCACTGCACAATTTCAATACCAAAATACAGTAAAAGAGTAAAATGATTATAAATGGCCTATGTGGACACCACAAAAACAAAACAGGAAGATTTCAGTCAGATATAAAATCCAGAGAGAGGATGAGCTATTGTCCCTTTTATTGCTTTACTATGGGATGCAGGCCCTGCTCTGCTGAATCTCAGGGGCATTTCTTTCATTGTTTGTCAGCGCTCAGTGGTTGGCAGGATCATATGTCTCATTTCTCAATATCATGCGCTTCATAACAGTTTTATTTTGAGAGAGGGCATACAAAGCGACACTTTGGCCAGGATGGTTGCCAATAAATTCAGACTGTGGCCGAGATACAACTGCTATTAGTACATTAAACTGTATTTTTACAAAATAAATACATAATAACAATAATCTAGTTCCCAGGAGTCAATCTACGTAAATGTTTATCACAGGAATATCATCCATCATCAAGTGATACATATCATTACCTTCTTGGAAAAGCCCCCAAATGAAGATATTTTAACTCAAAAGCATTACATTATTGTGACACATTAGTAAAGCATTGGATATAAATATCTAAAGGAGGCATTAGAAATGTATAAACTGTTTTAATTCCAATTTTTTCACTGGACTTAAGCCTGCCACTAGTCTACAATATGGCCATAACAGATGCTTTAATTAGTTTCCGTTTAATTAATGTGTTAAATTTGAAAGCAAACTGGGGTGTCAGTTGAGGTGGCCAGGCCTTTTTTTTAGGTGTGGCAGCTTCCAACCAATACCACACTTCTAGACCTGCCTCTGCCAATGCTACAAAATGACTTGTGTGACACATGATCAAGGCAGACTGACACTCGGGTATTTACAGTATTCAGGGTCAAACATCTTACTAAGTATAGAAAGAATCTGAAAAAAACAATGCTGCTATAGAACCATCACGACAAAAAATACATTTGGATGTTTCAACGGATGTGTACACTAAACTACTTTTAAACCCATAAAAAAAAAAACCTTGAAATAAGCATATCATTTTTTAAATTGGCAATGATTTTGTAAGTATGCCTTCACATAGAAATGTAATTTTAAACATTACACAGTAAGGCAGCACATACAGCATGTGAATCACAAAACCACAAAACACTGGCTTCTACTGTTGACCTTTTTAAACATTGCACCAGACTCTCATATCACAGCAGAACATGATGTTTAGGCCTCTTTTCTCTATTAGGGTGAAAGCTCCCTTTAATAACCCATTGCGCATGCGGGTTGCGCATGTCTCCTCGTGATGACAGCAAATGACAGCACTGTTCGCTCCTGCAGAAACCAGTGTGAGACGGCTAATCGCCACCAAACAACCCTTCTGACTCGAGAAATCTTACGATCAGCCGTGTGTAGAGGAACTGTGGACAACCGGCGCACGCTACTTACGCCCGGTGAGTTGCTGAATTTGTGGTAGCATCTTTTTGTTGCTCACTCAGGAGCTTCCAGCCCTCGAGCTAGGCTAACGTAGCTAACTAGCTTCTCGTTAGCTTACCCTTGCTTGACCAGCAGCGCCGAGTTTAACTGGGTTAACGTTAGGCTAGCTCGTTTACCTGTCTGTCTGTCTCTCTGTCTGTCTGTGCTCCTTCTTCAAATCAGTGCGAACACCGTCTTCTCTGAATGTAAGCTTACCGTTAGCACCCGTGGTCAGTTTCCTTGACTAGCGGCTGGGTTAGCTGACCTAACGTTAGGTTGCGTTGGTTCATTTGTTACGATTTCAACCCGTCTGACGGATGTTTGAGCCAAGTTTTAGTCACCCAGCAAGCTGTAACACACAACAACTTAACCTCACCCAGCTCTAACCGTCGGCTTCCTGGCTAAATGTTAGTAAGTTACACCATCAGAGCAAGGGCACTGGAAACTTAGCAGCACATTAAATGTTTTTTTTTTTTTGTTGCCCCCACCCATGGAGGGAATGTCTTAAGTTGGTAGCTTCATACCATAACCATCCAGCTTGTAAGGCCGTGGGGATTTAATAGCACACTGTCTATTTAACATCATAAATGTTTGAACACTGGATATTACTGTTAACCCTTTGTAGCGTTTTAAGTACCGTAATGTATCTCCCCATTTGCCCAATATTAATGTAGTTATTAGTCGTAGAGAAAAATAAGACAGGTTAATCAAGTCTTTTTTTTTTTTTTTTTTTATGAAGTTATAATGTTAAACATTGGCTGGGTACCCACTGGTTAAATGTGGGGTTTGGCTGCTGTTCTCTGTTTTTCTATCATCAAATTGAATGGGTTTTTTTATTTTGACAAAATAAGCTAATAAAGGATCCAAAGTCTCAGTATCTTATGACTCTTAGTTTAAATGATAAATGATGAAAATAATAATTAATTACAACCCAAATATACAGTTATTGCCCCCCACTTATACTACTTAATAACTGGCTTCACAGTGCACTGCTTCTGAATTATTCAAGCTCCATATCTGCTCAACACAAAAGGACTGAAATGTGCCAAATACCACATTACACAGCAAACCGTGCCTTTGCATTAAAGCTTCAGAAGTCGAGTTCAGTAACTCTTAATCATACTCAATCATAATCCGATTCAGGATCCGTCAGCAGGATTTCCCTTTTCTCTGTAGTGATGACTTCAGATTGCCTAAAAAATGGTTTGAAGTTCAAGTGTGACCACAGGGATCACATGCTTTTTTCGCTTTGTAACTGGATTTATAATAATTCCTTGGCTCATTCATTACTCAGAAGTAGGTTCATCTTTTGCTCAACGCTTAAAAAGTTTTGCAGAGAACCGACACCGGCGATGGCCATTTCAGTTGTTACGGAGGACAACATTAATATTCTTCATCCGCTGTGCGATACCACCATCTGTCTCCTTTCTTCTGGTGGTGTTTACATGATGCTTGGTTTATATGTGTTACAGTCACTGCTTCAGTAGTTCCTGTCCTGCTGTTACTTAAACTCTATACTGTTTTTGAGATTCTGCAGTCACTGAAGGAGATGAATGCAATTTGGTTTTTGCTTCACTTTGTTGTGGCTGCTGCTGAACTTCTGTAGGATGACGTTTTTACTAAAATGTTTGTACACTGTAAATCCAGTAGTGTAGATTTATTGTCTGGGGCAACAAAAAAATGTTTCAACCCACCTTCACGGGTCTGCCAGAGGGCCTGAAAGCTAGGCTGAACTTGACCCTCTTCTCGAGTTGGTCTACGCTGACCTTGTCAAACACTTCTAATTGTAGGAAGTTGCCCTCAAGACAGCAGATAAAGTGACAGCACCTGTGGTAAACTGTTCACAGTACACTTCAGTACATGTTCCATGTTAATGGTAAATAAGTGTTTATCCATAAAACTTCCACAGAACACCCTGTTATCAATTATCCAAGCTGATAACAGTAACAAACAGTGGAGTTTATACCAGCTTAAGCACTGACACCTGACACAGGTCTTATCAGTCATTCTTGGTGTATTTGTTGTAGAAACATGGATTAAGAGAGACTGTATTGTGTTTTTTCTCTTTCTGCCACCACTATAGCTTCTTGTGTCAGAGCCAGTGGATGTTGTCAAACATTCCTTCGGGGTTAGTGGTCGCTTTAAGGTTAAAGGAGTGGGTGTGTGGCGTGAAATTCCCTGCTTCCATCCCCCAGACCTGCAGGATATATCTGGATGGGGACAGTGAAAGAGTAGTGCTCGCCCCTCGCCTTCTTTAACTAACCAACTCTGAGGAACTGACTAAATACTCAATGTCTGCTTTAATTTCTTGACACAGGAAAAGTAGTGAGGTTCAGTAACCAGTACCTAGCCCAAACGATGGGAAAGGCCTCTCATAAACCTCATGTACTTGGTGTACATTACTTGTTTGCTGAACAGTGTAAGAAATTATCTGAAAAGGAAGTGTGAAGAGGATGTTGCCTAAGAACCACAAATACCTTTTGTAGAAAGTGAAATCCTTTGAATATCTATAAAAAGCACTTTGTTCCATTGGTCGGTGTGTGTGTGTGTGTGTGTGTGTGTGTGTGTGTGTGTGTGTGTGTGTGTGTGTGTGTGTGTGTGTGTGTGTGTGTGTGTGTGTGTGTGTTTTCATGTAGTGGGAGGAAAGGGCTACTTTCCAAACACCTTTACTCTGGTGCTGTAATATTTACTTAAATTTTTTGTGAAATATTGTTGTTCTGTGCTTCACATTTAAAAAAATAATTGAAGGTTTTCAGTAGATTTAAGTGATTGGACCTGCGCAGGCATTTTTTAAATCCTCTGTTTTGTCTTTGCCCTGCCTCTGGTCTCTTATGCCACCTTGTTGTTATAACCATGGCGCGTACACAGATGTTATGGTTGAACGATCAACTCTCATGTGAACGGTATTCAGCGGCCGTCCTGCCACAACGACGTTCATTCTCACACGACTCAGAAGGCTGCAGATTTTTGCCTCCCCTCACACTGTCTGTTGTGTGGTTTCTCTTCTGCTTTAGAGTTCCTCAGAGCGCTCCACGACTGACTCACCAGGTAGCTTTACGCAGTGGACTGTATTGAAGCTGGCGGGCACAGGGGGCCATGACAAATGGCAGTTAACCTCTCTGCTAGCCACTTAATAGCCTAGTTGCTTTTTCACTTCCTTCAAAGTATGTGAGGAATGTGCTTATTCAGGAACAGGAGTGTGTTCATGATAGTGCACCGTATGTGTGGTCTTCAGCCAGTTACCTGTCAGTTCATTCAGATGTAAATTGAAAACAACAGAAACCGAAGAAAAATGAACTGTTTCAGTGTGAATGAAATGGGGATCAGTCGACAGTAACTTAAAGCCAGCACCTGGTTGGTTGGTCTCTTCTGTAATACAGTACCTGAGTTTCTGTTCTGTCCTGAGACAGGATATCAGTAACCGTACTATTTCTAGTAGAAAGTGGATTCCAAAAATTCAAGGGTAAAGTCATACTCAACTTACAAATGAATGCCAGAATGTTGTCTGAGGGATAGTTTACCTGTAACTCTTATAAATAATGCAGAGCTGAAATGATTAGATGATGTATTTATCGACATGAATCTGCGACTACTTTGACAATCAATACGTCTTTTTCTGTCGTTTTTAAAGCATAAATTCCAAAAAACATCACTGTTTTCAGCTTCTCATATGTGAATCATTTCTGGTTTTCTCTGTGGTAGTAAATGGAATATTGTTTGGACTGTTGTTCAGACCAGAAAGCTATGTGAAGACTACATCTTGGGCTCTGAGAAATGTTTCACACATTACCTTTTATAGACTAAACAGTTAGTCGATTGCAGAAAATAATCTGTAGTTGCAGTCCTCCATGTCACAACCACTTCCTATCCTCATATAGCAGGTCTGCACATTTCCACATTGGGCCACAGCTAATACTTATTTTTAGGGATGCACAATAAATTTCGGGACAGATAAATTAGCGTCCGATAACGTGAAATGTTTATTATTATAAATTATCGGGATAATTAAATTACAGACGATAAATTATCGGTTGATGTTAATAATCATTTATTTGGAATTCTTATGCAAAACGATTGATAGACTTTAGATTATATGAAAGCCAAATTATGTCAAGTTTTTTTTGACAAACTTTACTTTTTGTTTTTGATGCGTTAACAAGAGTGGTGTCAGTTGGATTTGTTTAGAAAGGAGCTGTGAAACATTGAATCATTTATCTTTGCTCACTACATCTTAGCCTTTCTTACGTGTGGGTGTGTAAAAAGTACAGGTTATGAACTCCTTTAAAATTAATAGATGCAAAATTATGCGTAATGTAATCAGCATGGGCCATGGGAAGCAGGTAATTATCGGTTATTGTATTGGTAACATTTAGCATTCATAAGCACTATAAAAACATTTATGACACACTGTAATGTAGCTGTACACAGCTATGAGGACATTTTATAGTGTTTATTGATGTACAGTGTTTATCAGCAGTTAATACTTCTCCTATGAAGAGTTACCTTGTGAACACTGATTTAGTATATTGCCTGCCATATCAGTTTACACAGCAACTTCCACTTATGGGTGCCCACAGGAGTTGGCAAATACATTAAAAATCACTTCTCACACATTTAAACACACTTAAAAACATTTATTAAATGTTTATATACTACTTATAAATGCTAAATACGGGGTATTAAAGTTGTACAGGTTTTTTTTATGTTCATTTGGATGTTTTTTGTCTTTAAAGTGTCAGAAAGTGCCATTACGAGTCCACAGAAATAATTAAATAATGACATTATTATTATTATTATTATTATATAGAAACCAACACATTTACAAACAAATGTTTGATATGTTTACTGATAAATGACTGAAGGGGCAGCTGTGCCTTTTTATAAATAATTTCTTAAATATGCATTTTTCTCCCTAAACCATAGAATAACATTTTATATTGGAGTGGTATCTTAAATTGCAAAAGCGATGACAATCTAACACAGTAACTGAAGATCGCTAATCACTGTGTATTCTTGGTTTGCCAAGGGAATTCAGTGTAGAGCCTATCATTATGTGTTTAAATCTGCATAACCAATTTGATTTGTCAGGCATATCAACTCCAACGTTGTGGTTGTCTGTTAGCTTGCGAGCAATGATACCGCCTTGCAGTCATTCCCACTCTGAGGCAGTTTTCTCCAGTCTAGTCTCATTCTCCTCCCAGAGCCATAACTCCACTGTTAAATCAGTGTTTGCTATGTTAGCAACCAGCCACAAAGAGGCTTTTGTGCAAAAAGGTTCACCAAGAAATCATTCAAATTTCATGCACTCAGCTTGGTTTGTATGTCTTGGCTGTGTGTGTTTGGAAAAGGGAGAGTGATTTGCATATCCTGCTATGAAGCGTCTCCTGAAGCTTGTGAAACAGCGTGCGTTTGCCGTTGTTGTTGGGCCAGTGTGTGAAGCACATGGAATGCAAATGACTTTCCTTGCACGACACCAGCATCATGTGTGTGCTTGCACTAGCCAGACCTTTATCGAAAAGGGAACTGCTTCCAGATTCTCTTCTAATGACATTTACTTTTACATGCAGCATAACTCAAATGATGAATTCTGATACCTTTTTGCAAAAACACTAAATTAAGGATGTGGTAGTGTGTAGTAAAAGTCCCGTGCCAGAAAGTTACAACAATGACATGAAAAATGCAGTTTTTCTTCTTTGATTGATGTGCATGCGAAAAAAATCTCTGCAGCTCACTGTATTGGAGCTTGAAGGGATACTTAAGCAATTTAACAATTCACTTCCATAAAGTAGGGGGACAAAATGGAGACAGATTGAAAAGTTTTCAAAATTCTTTATGATTAAAGTCTGACAGATTAATTAGTTGCCTGTTTGTTTCAAGGCAAAACACAGTTTTTTTTGTTATAAATTTGTATGTCAAAGCACAAGTTGAAATAACCCTAACGATATCATCAGGTATTATTTTCTCAGACTTGATGCAGCATCTCTAGAGCTATAGTGGACATTATGCAGCTGTGTTCACATGCTTAATAGTACTACTATTCATGACAAATTAATTGGACTTTATGTGAAATTGGTGGAGTTCCCCTTTAACACAGCTGACATTCTATACTTTTTCTTTGTCAAAAGGTTATTTGGGCTTTTGTTTAGTTTCCGTTCCCCATATTCACCTCATTTACCTATTTCCATTCCTTCTTGTCCCGTTTGTGCTCCAGTCATTTAGCTCTCTGCCCGTGTGAGCTGGTGAAGATGGTGAAGCCAGACATCCACACTCTGGCCCACCACCTGAAGCAGGAGCGGCTGTACGTGGCATCGGAGAAGCAGCTGATCCAGAGGCTCAACAGCGATGTGCTGAAGACGGCTGAGAGGCTGTACCGGGCCGCATGGATTGCCAAGCAGCAGAGGATCAACCTCGATCGTCTCATTCTCACCAGGTCAGACCCTTGTCTTATCGTAAGGGAGATGATAAGATGGTTTTAATCTCATATCTGTGCATTAAGTACAGTGCACGTGGTTAGACTAGCTTTGCATAAAGGTTGGAGTCAAGCTAGCTAACAGAAATCTAAAAATGACAATTTGTGGTTTACCGGGGTGTTTTGTTATTATTTCCTATTAGGCGTGCCTGTGATTAAAAATCGTATGTTGTCGTACTTACTGTATGTCTCCAGAAAGCAGTTATGAATAAACGACAGAGAGCATAAAATAATTAAAATGCTGGTAAATGTAAATAGTTAAAATGCTAAAATATATGTTTTAGTTTTGAAGATGTGACAATTTTAAAAGTAAATTCTGTTGCACTATTACAGATGATAAGATAAAAACCCAACTCTTTCAGACCCACTATGTTTGTGGGTAGGATGTTATCTGGATGTCATAGTGAAAAGGACTTTATTACTTTATTACTAATACCTAAGTAGCTGTTGAATTGTATATGATATATGAAACAACTGTGTTCTACAGTGCGGAGGCCTCTCCGGCTGAATGCTGCCAACATGCCAAAATGCTAGAAGACACACAGTTTGTCGATGGCTACAAGACTCTGGGCTTCCAGGAGACAATCTATGGCGAGTTCTTGGCCAGGTTGAGGGAGAACCCCAGGCTGGTGGCGTCCTGTCTGGTGGCAGGAGAGAGGCTGAACCAGGAGCACACCCAGGGGGTCATCCATACGGTCTTCACCTCACTTTTTGGCAACTGTATCATGCAGGAGGATGAGAGCTACCTGCTGCAGGTAAGTGGCCCTACCTGTCTCGTGTGTTACACATTTGCACAACAATTTGATATCCACTCTGTAAGATGAGATGTTTTTATCTGGTGCAACTTTGTTTCTCACCAACTCCCAGGTGTTGCGATACCTGGTAGAGTTTGAGCTGAAGGAAAGTGACAACCCTCGCCGTCTACTGCGACGGGGAACCTGTGCCTTCAGCATCCTGTTCAAGCTCTTCTCCGAGGGCCTGTACTCAGCCAAGCTCTTCCTTACTGCCACCCTCCACGAACCCATTATGCAGCTATTGGTGGAAGATGAAGACCACCTGGAGACTGACCCAGCCAAGGTGACAGAGCGCCTCACTCCGGCCCAGCAGGAGCGCTTCGGAGAGAAGGGCTCTGAGGGCTACAAACAAAGGGTGCAGGCGGCTGTGGAGGCCAACGAAGCCAAGCTGGTAGCTCTGGTCAACAAGTTTATCGGTTACCTGAAGCAGAACACCTACTGCTTTCCCCACAGCCTGCGCTGGATCGTGTCGCAGATGTACAAGACTTTGTCATGTGTGGAGCGTCTTGAGGTGGGCGAGGTGCGCACCATGTGTACAGACCTGCTGCTGACCTGCTTCATCTGCCCAGCTATAGTTAACCCAGAGCAGTACGGTATCATCTCAGACGCCCCCATCAATGAGGTGGCCCGCTTCAATCTAATGCAGGTCCGTGGCAAAGCATGTGTTCTGTTTACACATCATATATGTGGGAATCATTCTACAGCGTAGATTCATATTGTTTTGTTATACAGGTGGGGCAGCTTTTACAGCAGTTGGCCATGGCTGATGATGACGCAGACCCGAGGCGGAAAAGCAGTCTGTCCAAATTTGACAAGGTGTTTGAACCATTGTGATGTTTTATTAATTCCAGCCCAAGTGCGACATATTTCTCCTCGTACTAACTCACCTTTCTTTGTCCCCGCAGAGTTGCGTTGCTGCCTTTCTGGATATTGTGATCGGAGGAAGAGCAGTGGAGACCCCACCCATGTCCTTGATGAACCTTCTCGAAGGCCTCAGTAGGACTGCGGTCTATATTACACATAATCAGCTGCTCGTGCTGGTAGGCTCTCTTGCAACTGATATCCAAATGTGACATTAGTATACTATTTGAAGGTTTGAGTTATTATGTGCTGCCACTCTTTTACAGCCCCTTGAGGACAATACATTCTAAAACTGCTACTGTATCTTAGGTACTCCCTACAGGCAAGGTGGTTTGATAGACTTTTTGAGCACCTTGCTGCATACATTTGCATATTTCCTTGAAACTCCCACAACTACTTAAAAATATCCAGTACAGAGGTCATGTATAGCTACTGGACAAAATAACCCAAATGCCTAACAATACAAATCTGTGCAGTAGACATCCTTTTGGAAAAGCTCAGTATGTTTAGTTTTTTTCAGCCATAGCTTGTAGCATTGTTGAGCAGATATCTTGTTACCGTCCTTCAGTCAATGTTGTTTATGGTTTTATTGTGACCAACTGCCACTGCCACTTTTCTGTGTTCCTTAACCTCTTGTACATCAACTTGAAGTATAAATTACTGGGAGTTCAATCACGACTATGTAGGTCATATTTTAAAAAGGGAACTATACAAGTGCGTCACTTTTACTTGAACCCCATCGGCGGTATGTGAAAGCTTTAATAGATGTGACAAACACTGTTCTTCTGAGCAACCTATATATAGGTGAAAAAAGGCTGGATAGTCTCTCTGAATCGCAGATGAATCGGTTGCAACAGCAGAAATGTGGTAAGAAGGGAGGCTAATGCATTCACTTAACTCCTGACCTTAATGTGATGTCAGCTAACAGTATATCTATTAATAAATTATAATGTGTATGTCAGGATGTGGTTTGTTTGTGTAAGAAAGCTGTGTGTGGCTTTTGTGTTGATTCATTGTGAAATACTGTTTGTACCTGCAGCAGTTTAGATTCACGTAGAACAAGACTCTGGCAAGCACAAACTTGCCATCGCACACCCTTCCTGAGAATAGGGTCTGATTCCGAAAATTAAAGTCTTTCACTTCCTGCACAGGTGGACTATGTGCGGAGTGTGATGGCAGGGGACCACCTTCGGGAGGAGGAGCACATGGCTCTGGAGACCCTGCTTGCCAACGTGCCCCAGAATCGAACCGTGAAGAGCAACAGTCTGGAGCTCACTCCCTCCAACACCCCCAGCTCTCCCCAGCTACCACTCCTGCCAACAAGAAGAACAGGCTCCCCATAGGTACCTTCCTCCACAGCCCCTAAGCCTCCGTCTTCCTGCCACTCTGGGTTTTCAGAATAGATGTATTGATGTGATCCAAGTGATGCAACCTCTTGTAATTTCCTGATGTGAGGATGTAAAGGTTTTTTTTTGCTTTATAGGAATATCACAATTTGAAACTAGACGATAGAAGTGTAATATTTTGTCTTAATGAGAAGTAAAATAAACAAGTAGAGTTCAGATGTGATGGCTAGTGAAAGGCCTGTGTTTTATAGGAAGCTAATGAGCTTCTTCTCAGCTTGTTATAAAGATAATTAGCGTGGCCTGGATTGAGGCTCAATTACAGAAATGACAACCAATTAAATTACCAAATATAAATGAACTCATTTTAATTGGAATGGATGGAAAAGATGCATAGACTACCTTCATTAGCATTCTCAAGACAAATGATGCTGTAGCAACACCCCCTTAATTAGAAATGAACCACTTGTGCTTGCTTCTCTGAAATATGACGTTTATACACACAATCTTGACTTGATACTTGAAAATACTTTAAATGTACTCTGTATTCTTTTCTCCAACTCCCCACCTTGTCCTTCTCCTTTCCTCCTGTGCTGCCAATGAATGACCAGGACAACACTTAGCCGCTATAACATCCTGGGACCCCACAACCACCACTCTGTCTGCTCACATTCCATTAGTAACCCCTTTTGGTGGGTAGCCTGTCAGTCGTGTTAGAGCTGGAGAGAACTTACCCCATGCATCTTTTGCTTTCACCCAGTAGCGTGTTAGATTCAAACTCATCCAGTCCATGCTCCTAGCTGCACAGTGCCCCCCCCCCACCTCCCCACTTTTACCTAACACCGCTGTTGTTTGTGTGCTTGCTTTGCCTTACACAGTGCTTTGGCTCATTATTCGAGCTAAAGATGTTTTTCCACTCATTTCATTTTCTAAGTTTTCCCCTTTTTTGCTTCCTCATTCAGCGGATTATGGCTTTTCATTACCAGGTAGAGTGGAGAAGAATCGATCTTCCACCTTTCCCCCTTAGGGTCTGAGCCTGAGTTGTGGTCAAAGTAAAAGAGACGCTAGTGCAGTTACTTCCCACAGTGATGGGCTCTGTGGTGGTGTAGTTGTATTCTTTTAGCACATATGGCATCCACTCATCTCAGAGAGAGCAAGGGTAAAACAAATAACTGGGTTTCAGTTTCAGATCTCTTAAAAGTTCTTAGAGATAATGGGTCATTATTAAGACTATGTGATATAACCATTCATTCAGTTCATTACCTATACATGCTTTAATGGAAGCAATGTTCATAGAAAACACTTTTGAGAAGGAAACACAACCCAGGATGACTGTTACACTCTTGATTTTCCTAATGTAATTCTCTTGAGATGATTGGAAAAGGGAGTAGCAGTTACAGTACCTTTTACATATTGTAGTGTATTCAGTGGATGGAGCTAAATAATCAATGCTGTGTCACAGGGCTGAAATATGTCAAACATGACTGTCATGCACTGCTTGAGAGGTGCATGACAGTCAGTTATGTCAGGCCTGCAGTTATAATCCCAGAAACACTGTGGACGTAGGTCTGGTTGTATTTCAACTACAGCTGCAACTAACAATTATTTTATTATCCATGAATCTGTCGTTTATTTTCTGGATTAATCGATAAGTTGTTTGGTCCATAAAATATCAGAAAATAGTTAAAAATGTTGATCGCTATTTCTCGAAACCCAATGTGACTTCCCCAAATATCTTTTTTTGTCCACAACCCAAAGATATTCTGTCAGATTACTGTCGCAGAGAACTAAATAAACCAGAAAATATTCACATTTGAAGAATCAGAGAACGTGGTTACTTTTTCTTGAATGACTCAAAATGATTAATTGATTATCAAAATAGTTAGTGAATGATTTAATAATTGCCAATCGAATCAATTAATTGACCTATCGTTACAGCTCTAATTTCCTCAGTCACGGACTACCATGTTTCAGCACAGGGCATACTAATGAAGACTGAACTTAGTTTCATGTTTAAATCTTTACAGACAGTGTTTTATCATTTCTGTATAATAGCACTGCTAACATCATTCTGTTCAAATAACCCGGCAGATATAGCCTCTTTTGTTTTCTAGAGACATTGTGAGCCAAGCTTTTATTCGCTTTTGTGTGTGTGTGTGTGTGTGTGTGTGTGTGTGTGTGTGTGTGTCTGTTTTCAGCTTGACCAGTCAACTGTGCACAGTGGGGTTTCAAAACCGTTATTTTCATGCTAGAAGAAAGCTCAGCCTTTATTATTGAGAACTAACAATTGTCTAACATCCAGAAACGAGATATGTACTCATCTTTAATGTCACACCAGTGTTCAGCCACAAAAGGAAAGAATTGGAAAATATTCAAAAGGTAATTTTGACATTTCCCTTCGTGAAAGTGATAAAGCCGTTGTGATTTATGGCTCGTTTAGAAATGAAAAGCTTTATTAGCTGGTAAGGTCATTCTAATTACTTATGAATAGCAGTTACAGGCGTCACATTGGTGTGACATACCAGATGAGAGTCTCGGTTCTCTGCTGTTCATTTTCACAAATAATGTTTGGTTGTTTAGTTAAACATGAATTCCTGTGTGTACTGCCTAAATCCAGCAACAGTTTTAGGTTAAAAATCATAGCAACAGATGTTGTTATCTAGTGTCCTCTGAATGTAACACTCAGGTAATAACAGTGTTTCCCTACTGTTCCCTCCAACCGACCAACCAGCAGCTGCTCGCAGCCGCAGCCGTACCAACATAGCCCAGGAGGGGGAGGCAGAGGCCAGCTCTCAAGAATCCCTACAGGAGCTGATGCCAGAGGAGGTGCTGGTGATTTCACTAGGAACTGGTCCTCAGACTGTCCCTGGGATGATGTCAGAGAATGAGGTAATGGGACTTGAATTAATGTACTCATTTGCAGGAGAGATGATGATGTGATCTATTCAGTGTCATATTTTTTCCTGTCACTGAAGGGGAGAAAGACTTGTTAGAGTCGGTGTCATGCATGTTTTAGTGCTTTGAGTGTGCTTGCACTGTTATGCAACTGATAAAAAACCTTGTATCTCATGTAAAACAAACTCCTCTCCCGTCTCCTGCCATCTTTGAATGAGGTAATGCCTCTGGCAGGAATGACTCAGAGCAAATTTGCTACCAAACATAAGTGATATTTTGTGTATATTTTATGTATGCACATCCTCACTCTACTGCTCTCTAGGTTTTGAACCTGCAGATGGCTGATGGGACCCAGGGGGATGGCCATGCCGATGATACTAAGCTGCATGGTAAACCAGACAAAACCCTGCGCTTCTCCCTCTGCAGTGACAACTTGGAAGGCATCTCAGAGGGTCAGTCTGCCGTCTGATGACACATAAAAATAAAACACTACACATAAACAAATTGCTGCTATGCTTTTCTCTTTCTCCGTGTGCTCTTTATGTTCTGTCACACAGTTACCTGGACAAAAACAAACTACAAAACAAACTAATTAAGAGAATGATGCAACTCACTTTTACACTCAGTATACATGTTTAAGTCAGCTGTTAGCTCATAGACCAGTTATGAGCTTGTGACCTGGTCATAACTGGTCTATGAGCTAACAGCTGACTGACCCTGATTACCTTGTGTTTGTTTTTATTTATGATTTTTCCCCCCTCAGGTCCATCCAATCGATCTAACTCTGTGTCATCACTGGACCTGGAGGGAGAGTCTGTTTCTGAGCTGGGTGCGGGACCATCAGGGAGCAACGGGGTGGAGGCTCTGCAGCTTTTGGAGCATGAGCAGGGTATGAGTGTGTGTTTCTGAATGTTGCTAATAAGTTGAGTTGGAAGCATTTACATATATTTTTTTTAGTTACAGCTTCACTGTAAACAGATAAAAGATATTAATGAGCTGCCCAGTCTAACATATACTGAATGTCCCCTTCAGCCACCACTCAGGACAACCTGGATGACAAACTGCGCAAGTTCGAGATCAGAGACATGATGGGTCTGACGGATGATAGGGACATCTCCGAGACGGTCAGCGAAACCTGGAGCACCGATGTGCTCGGCAGTGACTTTGACCCCAACATGGATGAAGATCGGCTGCAGGAAATAGCAGGTGGGGCATGGATGTGGTACCTGTATTCAGTCAGCAAACTGATTGATCTGCACTGTGTGATCATGACACATTTTATAGAGATGAATTTGCTGCACACAGGGACTTTCTCTGACTGCTGATTAAGTAGATTTTGGGAAATGTCTTCACCTTGTGGTTTGTGGGTGAAATAGCATCAGAAGGAAGGTCTTCAGTTCAGCTCAGTTCTATGAAGAAATGCATCACACCCCAAATGGTACTGCTGATACACATGTATGGCCGCTGCAGTTCCTTATGATAGTTTTCTGTGATATCAATAGTGCACATCATAATAACATTTGTTTACCAATTGAGCTGAAAGTAATAATATAGGTTGAGCTGCAACTAATGATTTTTTTCATTATCGATTAATTTCTTGATCATGTTCCTGATTAATTGGAAATTGTAAAAAATGTTGATCGCTGTTTCTCAAAGCCTAAAGTGACATTCTCAAATGGTTTGTTTTGTCCATAACGTAAAGATCAGTTTACTGCCATATAGGACTAAAGAAATCAGAAAATTTGAGATGGTGAAATCAGAGAATTTAGACATCAAAACAAGTAATCGATTATCAAAATAGTTGGTTATTAATTACTAATTGATTAATAGACTTATATATTGTAGTTCTAAATGTAGGCAAGTGCTCTAGTTGTTTTTGTCAACAAGATTTAATACAATGTCATATATAGGTACATATATAAATGGTGTCTTTGTGTTCCAAATTCAGTGCCGTTACTATACCTCAGTATTCGCAATATACTTTTATACTTTTTTATAAACCGTTTTATTGTACTGCCTCTCACTCTTAGATTTAACTGAATATGCAATTATCTTCCAAGTGATGGGATACACTAGTGAAGTGGGTGCATTTGATATAAAAATAGACTCTAGGGGCAAAGCAAGTTAATTTCTGCGTGTCTCTGGAAGTATATCCTGCAGTTAGCTTGCATTATCACAGTGGCAGTAGCTAATAAGTACATGCATGATCTTAATGTGCTGATATATAAGATAAACATCTTCAGTAGATAGTGGAGGGCAAGTTCAGCCGCTGCACTCTGTCGACAGTAAACACAGGTTGTGAAGATAACCTGCTCATATAATGTGAAAGCGGCTGTAGACAGAATATTTGAGTCTTCATGTTATTCAGACCCCCATCTTCCTGACTCTCCTGCCTCAGTTATTTTTTTCGTCACAGCCTTCCCTCTGCCCATCTCTCTATCCCTCTTTCTCTCTGACATTCACTCAGTCCCTGCAGTCTTATTGACCTTGGTTCCTTCTCATTTGCATCCACCATTTTTCATTCTTCGGAATATGGCGTTGGGGGACTTTTCCATCATTAAGTGAATTTACAGCGATTTCCTTATGTGTTTTCTCCAAGGGATTGGGTTATGAGATGCACATTAAATATCCATTAATACCTCATTATCCCACTGATAAGATTACCATGATAATGAGGCAGAAATTCTAATTGTTTCACTTCTTGTTGTGCCACTCATTTAATCATCCACCTGAAAGACAAGTACTCTGTGCCCCTACCTTGAAGACTGTAAACACGGACAGCGGGATAGAGCTCTCCCACCGTCAATGAGAGCCCTGCCCCCGCCAACATCAGTACACACTGTTGCCTGGGTACTGGCATGCATGCGTGCTCATGGCGTGCGTGTGCCATGAAGTGGAAGTATGACATACCAGGGGGCGCGGCTACCACAGGTCGACTTCTTGGTCTTGAGCCTTGGCCACTGACTCCCACTCACACCTGCTAGCTCTTTTCCCCCTCCTCCGCATTCTTCCGCCTTGTTAAACCACGGCTTCCCAAATGGAGATGGAGGGACACTGTGCTGAGGACTTTGTGGGAGGGTGGGAGAAGCGGTAATTTGGTTGTGAGTAATGCTAGGCTTAATCAACAGCTCAAAGTCATGGCCCTGGAGGCCAGGGAAGGGTGAGATATTACCATTAACCTCTGACCTTTGGCACAGTGGTATATGTGCCTGTGGGTCCCAGCATGAAATGCATGTGACCTCCAACTCTCTCTGTGTCTCTGTATGCAAAGCTCACCATCTGAAGCCCCATCCACACTGCATTCAAAGAGGGTTTCTCTGCTAGTTCTGCTTATCTCAGGCCATTCCACAGTGTTGTTTGAAAGTCAGACCTGAAGGCATACTGTAAAGGTGATGGGGCAGGTTTTAATTAAGATATAACATGTGAAATCAATACATTTGGTACCATATAGTGCGGAAACAATTGCTCGCTAAATTGATGAGTCGAATGAAAGACAATTAGAATTCATTATAGATTAATAATTTCAGTCATTCATCAAGCAAAAATGCCAGACATTTTCTAGTTTCAGCTTTCAAATGTAAGCATTTGCTACTTTTCTCTGTTTTTAAATTGTAAATAGAATATCTTTTGGGTTTTGAGCTGTGTAGCAATTTGAAGATTTCACTTTGGGCTGTCAGAGAGTAACAATTGTACCGCGATAACTGTGATATTGTATGGATTCTCAAAAACGCCATTGATTTCTGTATTTAAACCCCCAACTGCAAGATAGCAGTGTTGTAAATGTAAACTGATGAAAATAGACCCATGTTGCTGCAGGGACTACATAAATGCAGATCTCACTGTAGTGAGAAGTAAACTTTCATTTCAAATTTCATGCATATGGTGGTGTGTTCTTTATGTACCATGAGTTTTCCTAAAATTAGATTTTTTTTTTAATCACAAAGTATCACAATATATTAAATCATAACCCCTACATTGTGATACATATTCTATCACCAAATACTCACCAATATACATGCCTTTTTTTAATCATTATCATAGACAAAATTATTAATTTCTTAGTCTTAGTTGCAGCCCTAGTATCATCTAAATGTGATATGTTGTGGGATGGAGCATTAAATATGGACATGTATGAGACTTTTACCAAAGGCATAATTTCTGTAGCAGCAATCTCAAGTTTGCATGTTGCTCATATAAAAGATCTGAATAATTTATGAGAACTAATTACAGAATATGAATCAACACTGTGTCTTAACAACACATAGAGGCTGGGTAAAGTACAAAAAGGTGCCCTCAAGATGACTTTGTGACTGTAGAGGTGACTCCTTGCTGGTCCAACACTTTTCCAGACAAAAAAGCTGGTCCTTGCTGTGAAAGGAGGTTAACTCTGTGTCTCTTTCTCTCTCTCTCTCTGTCTCTGTGTGCTCCCAGGGGCAGCAGCAGAGAACATGCTCGGCAGCTTGCTGTGTCTTCCTGGCTCGGGTTCAGTACTGCTGGACCCCTACGGCTCCACCATCTCAGAGACCACAAGCGAGGCCTGGAGCGTGGAGGTCCTTCCCAGTGACTCAGGTAGGGAGCCAGGTTCATTCTGTTGTTGAAGACACCCTTTCACTGTTCTTTTGCTTTTCTTATTGTCTTAATCTCCGTGACGGTCTCAGATGTGCCTGCACATGTGTGTACGCATGCATATTTATGTTTGTTCGATAGATAGGGGGGTGGGGCGGGAGACCAGGTGTGGTTGCACGCCATTCCATACCAAAAATGTGTGTGTGCATCTGTCATCATATTTGCGTGCACTTGCCTGTCTTTCAGGGCAGATCTGCCTGTGCCAGTAAAAGGCAGCTCAGGGTTTCCTTAGAGGGACCACCAGGTGTGTTTGCACCTGTGGTGGAGCTGTGGGGAGGGAAGCACGAGGACAGCAGCTGTCCTCAGTCGATTTACACACTTTCAGTTTTTTATCTGGCTTATCTTGACTTAACATTGCATTACTCTGAGACTGGTGTTTATATCTTGTATTGTTAGGATGATAATCACACAGGGCATCAGTTTGCATCAGTTTACATCGGTTGTGCCACTCTGCCAATCAAAATGTGAATGCAATCTTAGAAATCATAGTTTGCACTTTCTTTGTCTGTTTTTGCAAATTGAACATACAGTTCAAACCTTTTATTAATGAGAGATTATGTGCTTAACTCCCCCTTTTGGAAACCAGTGCTTTGTGAAAATCAGTAGAGTGTTTTATTAACCGCGTTAAGTGTTTCTTTGAAAAGCCTGGGCCTTATGTTAATTGAAGTAGTACACCACTTCAATATGTGCAGTGCAGAAATGACATGCATGAGTGTCTTGATTGCTTTTTGTTCCGTTTGCTGCCCCTGTTCTGCTCTGTAATAGCACGAGCGGAGGCTTGCTTCGAGTACAGCGCTTGTTTCATGGCTAGGCAGCAGAAAACTACACTCTGAAGAGCACTTCACCAACACATTATTACTAACGAGCATGCAAATGAGTACTGCTGTTAGTATGGAGCCTCTGGGTTCGACCCAACAGCTCCATTGGGTAGCCAAAGAATTGGCCGTACTAGCTTTATGGTTTGGGTTGGCAGTTAGAAGACATGATAATATATGCTTTGTTTGATTTCATGCATATGTGCGCACTTGGTGTTTCCCAATAATCATAACAGAGGGGAGTGGTAGAGAGAGAGAGAGAGAGAGAATGACCATCATTTGTACAGTGGATTATGAGTTTCTTTAAAATTATACTTCATCCACACTTTAAGTGAGAAAAGTACACATTCCGGTGTCAGATGTTTGTTTTTCCAAAGAGAGAATTTTTATCTAACTTTTTTTTCCCCTTTTGGGTCCATTCGCAGAAGCCCCGGACCTGAAACAGGAGGAGCGTCTGCAGGAGCTGGAGAGCTGCTCAGGGGTTGGCAGTACCTCAGATGACACGGAGGTCAGAGAGGTCAGCTCGAGACCCAGCACACCAGGCCTCAGTGTTGTCTCAGGTATAAAGCTAACCTACTCTCTCCTCACCTCCTCTCCCTTACGTCTACTTTGTCTTTCAAACAATAAGTTGCATGTCTGGCTTTGACCCTGTTCTCCCTTTTGTCTTCTATAAGTTGAAAACTTCACGTGCATTATTAAATTCTAGTTAAATATATAATAACGTGACAAAAACTGCTTGTTTGTCACCCTCCTTGATTCTGTGTCGAGCAGTCATGTTGCTGGGAAGGTTGTTAACCAGTGTAATGGGGTCAGTGTGAATTTTTCTGTGTGACACAGGTTATTGCGGCTTGTCTTTTCTGTGGGCTCAGGTGGACATGCTATGTTGACATGCATGAAGTAGTATCCTAGATTAGGAAGCCAGCGGTGATGTTCCTGGCTCAGCTCACTGGAAAACGTCCCATGGGATCCGGCCGATGGATAGTCTGCATCTGATGATCACTCTTATCTGTGTCTTTCCCCTAACCCATGGGAGCTTACACTACCAATTTAGAGTTCCCAGTGGGTTCCCATCTCAGAGAGATCATGCAGTATAGTCTAAAGAGAAAAATATCCTCTTTTGTTTGAGAGACATTGAACATGCAGGTTCTGTTTTTTGACTGCTGCCAAGCCAAAGTACTTCACTGTTTTGAGTTGCTTTTGTCCTCAATGTCAACACAACTGTTTTTGTGTTGTTGTTTTCCTGCTGCAGGCATCAGTGCGACCTCGGAAGACATCCCCAACAAGATCGAGGACCTGCGGTCAGAGTGCAGCTCAGACTTTGGAGGGAAGGACTCTGTGACCAGTCCAGATGGGGAGGAGTCAGGCCACGGTAGGAGTGTGTCACATCCCCGCTAGGCTAGCTAAGCAATCAGTCCAGTGTCTATCTGGTCCAAACAGCATCAGCCAGAGCTATCAATCCATGTCACCTTCACTGCTGCCACCAAACTAAATCACCGTTTCAGTTCTTAACAGTTGTCATTGTGCATAGTTGAATACTCTTTGTTAGCCTGGCTCTGGAGTCACATTAAGAGGCTGAGCTATTCTCTTTTTAACTTAACATTATAAACTTTTTTTTAAGTAACAGCATCAGTTGTTAATTTAGTTAATTGTCTTGTATCCTCTTGTGTTTTTACAGGAGCACACCATCTGACATCTCCACCCTCACAGACCGATTCCTTACTGGCCATGTTCGATCCTCTCTCCTCCGCTGAAGGTAATTTGCACTCCCAGAATGCTCTGCAGCCAATCAAGAGCTAGAAATGAGTATCATTAAATCCCTACCATAATGTCGCGGGCTCACAGAACAGCTTGAGCTCTGTGAAATTAACCAAAAGAGTGCCTGTGCCTCTCACACAAGCCTTACCCTAATTACTGGACATTTTGTAAGTGAAATGTCATTTCATTTGGCCCATTTAATATCCCAAATTATTCTTAGCGGGCCTTGTCCCTGCGCAGTTTGTTTGTAGTGCAGGTGGAGATTGTGTGTGAGAGAGGAATGGTCGTGGCTGTGTGTCTGTGGCAAGGTGAAGGGATGACAGGTTGAGAGACCTCACCCCAGGCTCTTTGGCACTGTCCCCTTGTCCCACTGTGCTCATGGCACGAGTCTGCCATTGGAACCTTTTCAGGAGAGAGAGTGTACCCTTGGAACAGGTGGCCTACCTATACCTAGGGCTCATCTCCCACCAACATCTCTCTTTAGCACGCTCCCCCACTTTTGAGGTGTTTTTCTTCCACTGGTTTTGTTATGTTTAGCGACTACTTTTTAGAGACAAGGGAGATTTTTCATACAGAGCAACACTACCTGTTAGTTATCCTACTTGTAGAATTTCATTAGTGTATTTAAGGCTTTAAAAACAGTTAAACACAATATCTACTTAGGGAAAAAAGTATTTGTGAAGCCTGTGCAGTGAGCTGCTCACAAAGTGTGCAGGGATGTTTAAATATCATCCATTTTCAAAAAGCTCCCTCAACTCAACACCTTTTTATATTCTGTGTTTTATTACCTCAGGCTCCTCCACTGGAACAATAGTGAGGCCTAAAGTGCACTACGCCAGGCCCCCTCACCCTCCCCCTGATCCTCCCATCCCCGAAGCCAGTGCCCTGGGGCCGGAGACGCGCCACTCTCTCTTCACGCCCCACTGCCTGGCCCAGGCTGAACTGGAGCACACCAAGCAGCGCCACTCCTTCCCTGACAGGCTGGTCCGTAGTCGCAGCTCTGACATCGTGTGTCCAGGCCGTCGGCCCACAAGTGACCCCGGCCTCAACCGGCGGGTAGCAGTTGAAGAGCGTGACCCTGCCGGGGCCTTCTCCTTAGGACCGTCCTCATCCCCCAGCAAGGACTCCCTGAAAGGAGAGGTAATCAGCTACAGCAGCGCTCTTAGTTATTGCCTGAGACGCTTGTCTTTTCATTAATGCTGCTGAGAAACAGCTTTTAAAGTAAGTTCATGGTGTTGTGTTTAATAATCTGCCCGCTAGTGTAGTGTGTGTAAGTGTATCTTGGTCATTTCCATCCAAAGGCTGAGGACAGGAAAGACAGTGACGATGAGAAGTCTGATCGCAACAGACCATGGTGGAAGAAACGTTTTGTGTCTGCCATTCCCAAAGGTAAGGAAACAAAACACTTGGTCGTTTTAAGCATGTCCTCTTTCCTAAACTGAAAAATGACCTTTTACACATTTAAAAGTGATCTGTTTGATTGCAGCGCTCCTTTATTTTTTTGTTGCAGAAAAAAAAAGTTCTCTTAATCACAACTGACAGGAAATATCACACTTTAAAGAGCAGAGCGAAAACCAATTTATAATGTGAGAAAGAGAATGATGATCCATGTTGTCCACTCCATTGCTGATGCTCCAGTTGGAAAATTATGTTTCTTGTTGTTTGAAGTTACTCCAGAGACGTGTCCGGTCCCTTTTCTCTCACGTCTCACTGGCTGCAGATTTATATAGACATTTCAAAGCTAATCAGTCATCAGAGGAGCTTTAGCTGTGTAGATTGTATGGCTGTAGCCCTCCCAGCAGTGCTGTCAGCCAGCGGCTAATGGTCATTAGATAGACCTTTCTGTCATCAGCACTGATAGATGACACATCTCTTGTTGCAGTTCTACTCTACAACCATCTCTCATACTTCTGTCTGGGAAATAATGAGCTGTGCCCACACAGAATGACTGCTTATTACTCTTTGAGATAATGATGTTTCTTAAGTAAACATTAAATTGATATACATAAAATGGAGGACTGTGTGTACGTGGGGAAAGTACCAAGCCCAGACCACCAATCTCCCGCCAAGTCTCTGTAGAGTCCATTGTGTTTGTCCTGTTGCTCTGCATGGTGACGCACAGTCAGTAGTCCGGCAGAGCGGCAGCCTGTGTGTGAAAGGCCAACCCTGTCTGTTGTGTCCCTCACAGTGCTGTATTGGACGGCTGAGAGTGATGTCCCAGGTAACGCTTCTCGCTGTCGTCATTGAGCTAGCTTTACTGCTGGAGCCCAGCGGCTGCGTGCCCATGCTGCTTTGTATATGTCGCCTTAGAGCTGTAGAGCTGTGACGTGACATGTTCTTACGCCCACACTCCTCATCCATGCATCCGTTTTAGCACCCTTTTATTTTAATTTTGCTATAGTATGTTACCATTTTACTCCCTGGAGAATACAGAATATCAATGTAGTTACCCCACCCAGTGTTTCCTGTGTGTGTGTGTGTGTGTGTGTGTGTCTGTGTCTGTGTGGTGTGTGTGTGTTCAAATTGTAGAATCTGTGTCTCTTGTTTGTCCTGTTTGCACCTTCGTGTTAATAGGATAAGCATCATTAAACTTATTTACATCTACATCAACTGGACTTTTTATATTGAGTTACGGTGATATTCTTGTATGAACCAATTGTTTAATTCACCATTTTCGTATGCCTTTGCTTTTTTCTTAGTAAAGTTCTACACAAGACTTTTTTTGGTGCTGTATGAGCATATACATCCTATATTTTTAGAAACCAAAATCATGAAAAAATACCAAAGATTTAGCTGTCAGTGGCTGTCAGCAGGTGACTCATGATCAGCTTGTCATCCAGTCATGGTGAAGGTGCTGTCAGCCCACCAATCACCTGTCTCTCCTCTACAGCTCCGATACCATTTCGGAAAAGGGACAAGCAGGAGAAAGACGACGTTGCCCAGGAGCGTATCCCACAAGGTCTGTCCTGGTTTGGTTTAATTACACTCCTAGTGTTGCTAAACGCATACTAAACAACGTATCTATTATGGTGGGTTGCATTTTAATGCTTCTTGTGTGTTGTTGGGTTTATCAGATGACCCATTGCCCAGACAAAGCTCTCAAGCGCAGGCAGCTGAAGACATCCTGGACAAGTACAGGAACATCAAGAGGACCAGCCCTAGTGACGGCGCCACAGGTGGAGCGTCTTATGATGGTACAGGAGGTCAGGAAAACAACACTCTTGAGTATATATCGCTATTAGACACACTTGCAGTAGATAAAGTGAGTAATTTGCCTGTTTCTATATACGTCAACAGATCTTTGTGTTGAGGACAGCGTGCATGACTCTCCTAGAGAAGACACTCTGCAGAACATTTCCACAGACGACCTTCTGGACTCGGCCAGCCAGACAGCGCGGCAGCATGACTCCAAGTTCTCCTTCAGGTCCGAATTCTGCAGAAAAACACAAAACCCAATTCACAAGCAATCGCTCAACACTTTCTAGTTTTCTTAGCGGATATTTTTTTTTATTTGTGTCTTCCAGTGATGCAAAGAAGAAGCTGAGGTTGGCGTTGTGCTCTGCAGACTCAGTGGCTCTGCCCATCATGGCTCCTACAACCACACGAAATGGGCTGCCTGACCACTTGGACTCTGAAGGTAGGCATCCCTAGATCATCTATGCTAAAATGAATCCTATATTAGTGCTTGAATTCATAATAGCCTGCTCTTTGACTCCTTCTACACTGGAACTGAAGTATTACAGCTGCTTTTGCTTTCTCTTTTCCAAAAAGAGGGGAGATTTAAGGCTATCAATTGGTATATATAAATCGCTTCAATTGGTGGACAGTTGTTAGTGCTCCTGTGGAGACAAATAATTGGTCATAACTGATCATTAAGCACAATTCATTTAAAACATGTTTAGAGTTAGACAGTGTATTAAATAGAACTTGCTACTATCTGCTAGACTTTAGGTATCTTTGTCACAGCTCTCCATAGGGAGCAGGGTACAAGCTCTTAATGTTGGCAAGCATCCAACCTGCTGAAAGTGTCCTTAAGCAAGACGCCAAATCTGTACCACCACCTTCACCTTCTGACTCGCCTTCCAAGGTTTGGGGCAAGGTTGGAAGAGTGGGGGATGTTAAAAGTGAATTCCCATATGGTGTCAGTAAAATATCACACTATTACACCATCATACCACATAGATTCATATTGGTACAGCATTTTATCAGAGAGTATTCAGATGCTGCACAAAATAAAGACAGACCTCCTTAAGCTTTCTTCACAGCAATTCTGCAGGATGTCACCTTCACATCCTGAAGCGGGACAATCGCAGGCAGAATCAAGTGACATCCTGTGAAATAGTCAACAGTAAAACCATAAGACTCCATCTTTGTGGCCATCAGTCACACTGTCATGTGAAGGCAGCAGGTTGATCAGATTACAGCAAGCAGCCGCTCCTTTGTGAGCGGCGTTGTCTAATGCTGTCTCCCTATCGTCCTCTCTCTCAGACAATGAGATCGTCTGCTTCCTGAAGATCCAGCTAGCAGAGGCCATCAACCTTCAGGATAAGAACCAGATGGCCCAGATCCAGGAGACCACGCGCTGTGTCAGCCGCTTCGACGCACGCACCTGCAGGAAGCTGCTTGCTGCCATTGCGGAGGATTACAGGTAGCTGTGGAGGCCTGGAGAGACGGCGCAAGCATACATAGACCCATGGGTCTTTCATTTTGTTTGTTCAGTGCATAATGCTGTTTTAGGCAACTACAGAGATGTAGGCAGCAGTACTGTGGCAATAATAGTACCAATGTATGTGTGTGTGTTTCCTTTTAGAAAGCGGGCTCCGTACATAGCTTATCTAACGAGATGTCGTCAGGGCCTGCAGACCTCTCAGGCTCATCTGGAGAGGCTCCTCCAGAGGGTGCTGAGAGACAAGGAGGTGGCCAACCGCTACTTCACCACTGTCTGCGTCCGGCTCCTCCTTGAACACATGGAGTCCAAGATGCTTGACTTCATTAAAGGTATCTCTACATTTTCACATTCATTGTAACCGTGAATGCCAGCCTTCCTGCCGTTCTATTTTCTGCCACTTTTGGCAAATTATGCATGATTTACGATTCTTTTCCCAAGTATAGCTTTAATTTACTGCCTGACCTGGCTGGGTTCGGGCCCAAAACTGCTGCCATGGGTTGGGCTCAGACAGAATTAGAATTTGTTTTTAAAAAATATTTGATTAATAATGTAATTAATGAGGGGATTTGTTAGTTATTAGTTTTCATAATTTGTAAGTTTACTTTAGCTTGTAATTAGGTAGATAACAGATATTTAATTTTTTTTTCACTAGAAATTTGGGTCGGGCCTAAAAAACTGTCCATGGTTCAGGCTCACACAGACTTTTTTTTTGGGCCCGATCAAAACTTTATCACTCCCCAAATACGTGAAGAACACAGGTGGTGGTGACCCTTACAATATGTCACAGATATGATGGAGGATTGTTGTTCCACCAAGCTAGACTATTAAATATCAGATAACATGCAATTATCTGACATGGGTTTGGTAGAGATGTATTCATTTTTCCATATTAAACATCTGAATTTATTTCCATGTATTTCATATGAGTCTTTACACAACATTACTTTCAAGCTCAACTTGACTCGCTTAAAAACAATCCTGTTGTTGCACAGTAGAGGTTGCAGCTATGTCCTGTGCCGGTGTTACATCTGTTGGTTTCCCTGCTTCCCTTCCAGCGTTCCAGGGGTGCACAGCATCGGATGACAAGACAGCAGCAGTGGAGGATTTTCTGCGCTACTTGTACGGTGCCATGGCCCGTGATGCCATTTGGCAGTACGCTAGCGAGGACCAGCTGCAGGACGCCCAGATGGCTATCGAGCGCAGCGTTATGAACCGCATCTTCAAACTGGCCTTCTACCCCAACCAGGATGGAGATATTCTCAGAGACCAGTGAGTAGCTGGAACAACACCAGTGCCACACAGTCCCAACAGGCAGTATTCCATTTTATTTAGTTGTTTTATGAAGATTTACAACCTTGGAAATTTTGGGGGGCAGCAGTGCTTTGCTCTGGCCTCCAGGACTGAAAGTAACATCAATCAGAATAGTGAATAGACTTTGATACTGCACCTACAAAAGCAAGGGTGTTTAATTGGGTGTGTTGATAGACTGTGGTCTGAAATGTCTGTTCCTTTTTGTGTTCTACTCATGCACTATTTTGCTCTAAATATATAGAAGTAAGAGTTTTACCCCCATAATGTATTTGTTACAATAATTTGAAATTATGTCACACATTCAGAATATGCTGTGACAGTACAGTTTTCTATGACTGAAAACAATGTTTTACAAAATGTAATTGTCATAATGTTCACCGAAGCCTGTATGTGTAGTATACAGAGTAAGTATGATGTTAAACCATGAATGCTATGAAAGCTGCTAACATGCCACACAAAGGAAGGTAAATTCAAATGGAGGGCTTACTATTTAGATGGATATGTTACCCTAACTGTGCACTGTTGGCTTGGACAGAATGTGCCTGTCTGTTGTCGTGTACTGAGTTGTTTTGTCTCACGCAGGCTCTTCCATGAACACATCCAGCGGCTCTCAAAAGTTGTGACGGCTAATCATAAAGCTCTTCAAGTCCCAGAGGTATCTTCTTCGTGACACTTTTTTCCATTACTTCCATGCATTTATGGAGATGGAAGAGACTTGATGAGTTTTTTTTTTCCCCCTGGTTGCAGGTTTACCTGAAGGAGGCGCCATGGCCCTCTGCTCAGTCTGAGATCAGGACCATCAATGCATACAAGACTCCACGAGACAAAGTCCAGTGCATTCTGCGCATGTGCTCCACCATCATGAATCTCCTCAGTCTGGCCAATGAAGACTCTGTCCCTGGAGCGGACGACTTTGTCCCTGTACTTGTCTTTGTCCTCATAAGGGTAAGTCTGCTCTTACTTCATCCTTCCACACTTTGAGCACTAAGCTGTATTTTTAAACAAGCTCTTCAATTTGGAAGGATTTTTACCATCTGTATTGATCACTTATTGACTTTTTAGAAATAACTAGTAGGAATAATCACCCAAATGACTGTACTGTAACTGCAGGGCTCCATAAAGGCTACTATCTGCTCACCTGAGTGGATATATTTTACATATTTATGATTGTAATCTGTATGGCGTTGCGTGAGGTTCCTTCAGCGACTAATGTGGGCCCATCCCCACATCTCCTCCCCTCCAGGCAAACCCGCCCTGCCTGCTGTCCACCGTTCAGTACATCAATAATTTCTATGCCAGCCGGCTGAGTGGGGAGGAGTGCTATTGGTGGATGCAGTTCACCGCGGCGCTGGAATTCATTAAGACCATCGACGATCGCAAGTGAAGCAGAACAGCCACCTGTATGGGCAGACTGCGGGGGAAGGAGCCGGGAGACTGGGAGACTTCCCAACCAACTGCTCCCTCTGCACAGCTTATAAAACCTGGCCCTCAGCCTGCTCTTTATTTGTATAGCTTGTACATAGCCAGAGACGTTGAGAGATTACAAAATATATATTACTGTACGTATGTGGACAAATCCAGGTTTTAAGCCGTGGTGGGGAAAAAAAAAAAAACGGCCTTGGGGGAAAAATTGGCAAAATGTTAACTTTGAACCTGATTTGGATTTTTCCTTATCTTTTTGTCTCTTTAATCATATTTCACTTTTGGGGTCTGTATTAGGAATTGTATATATATATACACAATTACCATTACCATTATGACATTAAATCAACCTAAAAGATAATCCTATATAAAGGGACCAGACTTCCTTGATGTGATCACTGATCTTTTTAAACCCCCCCCATCCGAGTGAGAGGGAAGGGCTTCCTATTAAATTACAATATAATGTTTAATTAAGTGCATTGTAACGTGGGGATTTACAGTGCGTGATAGTTACTGATGGGATTTAGTGACTCATAAACACTGAGATCAATTCACAACAACCATAGCACTCATAAGGTTAGTGTATCAAAAAGTAGGGCAGCTTATTTCATGAATTGTTTACTTCATCTTATTCCCAAAAACCAGTGTGTCAGTGACGATTTGGACATAAGGGCCCACATATTTATATGAAATAAAATGTATTTATTTCTGTAATTCTATTTAATGCTTTGTTTATCTCATTTAAGGAAAAAAAAAAATGCAAAGGCATATCATGCCCATTCAAGATGTCTGTGGCAAGTGGTATAAACTTGCTAGAAAAAAGCTTGAGTTAGGAAGGCACCTTAGCGATGAGAAGCCCGTAGGTGGGGATGCTGGGCGGTTATGATACAGGGTCGACTCATGCACAGAGTAGCGGTGGCATTTTTGGAAATATTGAAAATAGTGCCTTTGATGTGGGGCGCTCTGTACAGGTAGTTATTTTTGACTTCTTTTTTTCTTTTTTTTTTTAAAACCCAGCATAGGCATTATCCCCCCACCCCTACCCTCCCCCCCCACACACACACACACACACTCCAGTGGGCCAACCGCGCATCGCCACATCACTGATTGTCATGGCTCAGTCCCTTTAATGCACTTGAGTTTGAACAAATGTCCCCTTTGCTATTCTAGATCCTACCTCAGAGTTGAAACCAATGAGCCTGATATCAGTCTGTACACAGTATAACTGTCCTGCATTGGTTGACAACAGAGTACTGGATCAATTTTGCACTGGTTAAAAAATAAACAAAAAAAACAGTGAGGGGATGGTAGGAAAAGTTGGATATAGAGCTGCTGTGATGCCTGTTGTGGTCACATCACCCTTAATTAACACAAGCCTTTGTTAGCGAACAAAGACATTTTAGTTTGTAACCTTATACCTGAGATGCCACATGTGTCCTCATGGGCAGACTAGTGAACTATTGGATATTAGCTCTCTACCTCCTCTTAAGTTCAAGAAAGGGACTCGTGTTTATGTGCACTTATGCTTCTTTTCTTTCTTTCTTTTTTCTCCCAATTTGGCGTGCTGTGATATCCCAGTGTCATTGTATCTTTCCAATTATAGTACAAGCATGTCTTTAATTATCCAGAAATGACTAAAACTCCTCTTCTCTTGAAATCCTCTGCTTCATTTTTGTGCACAGACGTGCCACGTGTATTATAGTTTTTTTTCCATGACTTTTCACGGTAAACGACCCGACAGCACATTACACAGTAGGATAGAAGAGCAAATAATCAACACTATTGACTTGTTACTGACTTGCAGTTTATGCTAAAGTGGTTGGTGTAGTACGTGAGTGTGGTTTTTATCTAGTCGAGTGTGTGTGTGTGTGTGTGTGTGTGTGTGTGTGGTGAGACGATCGTGTGACTGCTTGACCCTCTGCCTCCTCTTGCATGAAGTCATTGTATGGTCTGTACATTCTCAATCATGATGAACAGTAGAATAGGATTAGTATCTGCCACAGGCCAGTAATTGAACCTGCAAGAGGATGCAAAGCTTCTCTTTGTGTCTGTGATACCTGCATATCAGAACTCGATGATTTATTTTGCACAAAACTGATGTGTTTTCCTGAGCAAATTGACAGGGAGCAGTGCATTTATCTGAAATGTCAGTAACTTCTGGCCTTTTACCGTCATTTCACATAAACACATTGTGATTTAAATAATATCTGAGTAGCTAAGTTAAGCACCTGACTGTTACTCTTTCAAGCTGATGAGCGTCCACATTTATGGGGCGACATCACAAATGCATTTTCATATCCGTCTACCGTAGCCAGATTTGTATGTGTCTGCGCAGTATACTTCCTCGCCGGGTCTGTGTAATCAATTTGATGAGAAAACCATGCACTGGAAAATCAGGTTGCAGGTTGCATCTATACTAATTAGGTTTATGTGATGTCACTTTAATTGGAAATACATACTGCACAAATCTGATGAAATTATTTGGACCTGGCTTATGTTTCAGCGTCTCCTCAGATAGCAGGTCACAGTGGCCACACGTGACCCCGGCGAAGCACTGATCAGAACGCCGCGTCATTTCCATAAAAAAAAACACACACGACTGCGAGAGCGGCTGCGTTTTTAGCTCCGACTGTATGCAAACCACTGCACGGTGGTGTCAAGTAAACCGACTAAAGAGTTGTCCGTTCCTCAAAGCTTTACTGCTCTGCTCCCTGTGCAATTGAGTTTAAAGTCTGAGCAGAGAGAGAGAGAGAGAGAGAGAAAAGAGTTTTACATCTTACATCTAATTTTACATTTAATTGTAAGCTTGCACAATTATGACATGCGGGGAAAGCCGGTTTGTCTTTACTGTGATTAATGCATTATGTAATTCTTTAAAAACAATAAAAGAAGCAGAAGTTTTTTTTTTATTATTATTATTATTCTGTGGCTCCTGAGATACATTGTGCATTTCCACTGCCGGAGGAGAATGTCGCACCTACTGTACACGACAGCGTTCCATTATTCTGCGGCTCCTTGGACAGTTGTAGGTACATCTGGCCGACAGTTCACACAATAGAAGAGATGGTAGGGAAATTTATGCGTGGAATATAATTGTTAGTGGGGGCAGTGGAGCAGCATCGTCCAATCTAGCAGCCACAAATAGCAACCTCTCAGCAAACATTTCATTACTGCTGACAAGTGTACGGTGGATTGTAATTGGAGATATCCCCTCATCTAAAAGCCCTCCTTACTTCACCGATTGCCTTCTCTAATACTCATCTTTTTTTCATCATAAACTTCTTCGTGGGGTGCTTTGTGTCCCCTGATGATATCTCGCAATTGTTAATTTAAATTCAAATTTTGGTGTGTGAAGTTAATTAGTTGCATAAGCCAATGGCTAGATAGGCCAGATTTGGAGATTGGATCTTTTGACTATGTGGCACTTAGCTGATTTCAGATACACGGAGGCTTGGTTTTGTTTTGTATTATGCTGCTCCACATACTGTATTATTATTGGCTAATACCGACATCAGTGGTGAACTAGAGGCTGTGCAGACATCACACACACGAGGTGTAATATTACCTCCAATTCATACGAGCTATCAGTGCAGTGGAGTTTGCTTTACAGGTGATGGCAGATGGATCAAGTGAAGGAAAGGAAGAGGAGGAGGAGGAGGAAGAAGAAGAAGGGGGTTGTTATATTGATGTCATTCTGTTGCTTGAAGACGTGAACAGGCCTGAGGTCTCACCCAGATGGCTGTGGAATGACAGATGATCAGTCCAGCGGGGCTCACGCATGACTTCACACGTTGGTCTGGTACTTCCTGGTTGTAGGGGAACAGTGGAAGAGGGCAACCCCCCCCCCCACCTCCCTGTATCTTATGAAATCACACAAATTCATCTCCCACTCACTTCCTGTACGCCCCACTATAAAGCTCCCACTAACTTAACACAACAAAGGGAAGTTATTGAACACTTTAAAAGCAGAGAGCGTGCAGGTTTTACACTAGAATAATGAAATTGCCATTTATAATATAATGAGAAATAACTGATAATTAATTGTGCAATATGTGTGGTAATGGATCCATAAAGATAGGCCTGAGACGAAGCGATCCAGGAATGGAGAGAATAAAAATAATGCACAATAGGAATACCTGCTGTTCCATTACCGGGAATATTCCAGCGGTTTTTAGCCGGATCCCAGTGATTGATTGGGTTTAAAGCAGGGGTTTCCACATCCACCGTGCAGCTGCAGGGGGAACAACAACCGGCATGCAGCAGGGTTCTCCTCAGTGACCCGCTGTACGGCTGCTTCCCCCTCGCCGGCCTGCAGATGGCAGACGCACCATTCTCGACGACGGTCCGCAGATCTGATCCGAGAGCGGCTCAGACAAAGAACACCACGGGGCACGACGGCTTGACATTTAAAACCAGTGGGACTCGCTGTCTGGAACCGGATCTTGTTCTGTTTATTGTGTGTATTTGTCAAATAAAAAAAAAAAAATGTTATTATTCATCTTATTATAATTATTTGTATTATTATTATTGTTGTTGTTGGCAGTATTTCAGGGCTGGGGAGACGGATATAAAACACACTTCAGGCTAAATAAACAGGCTCATAAGACTGCCGAAGGTTCCTCGTGGCATTTTTCCTTCACGTGAAAAACATCACAGGAGCGCGCGCCCTCCTTCCACCCCTCACGTGCATCCTGCGTGGTACAGGTCACTACAGGCTGCACGTTCAATTCCATTCAGTTTTATTTGTAACGAGCCAAATCCCAACACAACTTATCTCAGGGTACTTTTCATACAGAGCGGCTCCGGACCGTCTTATACTCTTTATACTCTTTATGATATTATTTACAGAGACCCAACACTTCCCACCATGAGCAAGCACTCGGATCTAATCTGCTGCTGCTGCTAGTGGCGGGAAATCTTCAGTAAAGGACAGAATAAACAACACAAGGCAGCAGCACGTCAATTAAATTAAGCAATGGGGAGGAGGGGAGGACGAGGAGGAGCAAGGAGGAAGGAGGGGGGGGGGTCTAAATGAACAAAAATGTCAAATACACATATTAAAACTTAAATGAAATAGCCGCAAGGATGCAGGCAGAGGAGGAGATTAAAACTCAAAGGGATACAAAGTCTCGGCGCCCTGAGGTGGTGATACTGTAAGAGATGCAAATAGTAAAAGTGAGCACCATTCTCCTTAATAATTCCAGCTTAAACTACGGAGACAAAGGGAGATTTGTGTTTGGTGACAAATAACAGAATGGCCCCGTGCTTCATTATAAGGCTGCTATAGAGGGTCAGTATTAAACAATGGCAATACAGTAACCCTAAGAGTCAGGTTATAGCATCATTCCAAAGGACAGATATGTGGACTGTTGCACTTTTATTGTGTCATTAAACCTACTGGGTTCAGTCTGAAATAGCAGACATAGGAATAAATGACATTCCCCGTGTCTTCCTTTACTGCTCACCACAAAGGATATCAATTAGGCAAAGGTGTCAGTTACAATGGCGCTTCTGAGACTACCGCTCCTTCCTTATATTATATGCTTATATCATTAGAAAAAGAACAATTTTCACAGGCGCGGCTAATCACCTATGAGGGAAAGAGTGGGTGGTGACATCAAATTGAACCGTGGAAATGGAACAGGAATTAGATGCACTTAGCCATCACATGTTAATGGCAGCAATCAACAGCCAATTACCCAGCGTACTTGAGTACCTTGACAAGTGCAGGTGTACCCTACAACTAACACAGGCCTCTTTCATGCATTTCCATAAATTCGACAGTAAACTCCCTCTCTGATTGAGCGTGCATGTTTCATTGGGGTTGCAATTAAGCAGTATTGTTAGGGAAGTGTCAAGTGTGGATCGCGAGGAAGAAAAAAACCCTCAAGGGCAACAATAAGATGTATTTTACCTGCATGCATGTAAATCAATAATGCTGTTATTTGTTTATATTAAAATGACCTTTGTTGTTACTGCCTAGAGAAATGTTCATATTGCTTATACGCGTTTGCTGATTTGAACATTTTGAAATCAATGTTCAGAAGTGTGTTGGCAGGCAGCGGTTTTGTGTGTGTGTGTGTGTGTGTGTGTGTGTGTGTGTGTGTGCAACCGGACAGTGCAGTGGTGTCACTGCCTGGCACAGCTCTCAATGTGAACATGATCCAGGCAGAAGATCTGCTGCTGATGCTGATGATCTCTGTCACTGGGGTGGATTTCAGGGCTCAGCTCTGACTGCTGCCCTGACAAGTCTAGGAAAACACACATACACACACACATATATGCATCAGATGAACACATCAGCCTTGCACACACTGCGAGGGCCAGCGTCCCAGTATGACCCACTTTGATTATTCTGTCCTTAAGCAACAGGTGACGGGGGCTTCCCCGGATGTCATCTGTGTCGTTGGCCTCTGTTCAGAGACAGCATTCAGGACCCAGGGAGAGCTGGCTGGCAACATGCCCGATCTACAAGTGAGCTGTCCTATCATTGACATCAAGTAAGCCGAAGATGTCATGTCTTCATCTTGTGAGAGTTCAATCCCCCTTTCAGGATGGATCAAGCTCTCTGTCGCTGGAGAGAGGTTGTGCAGATAAGTGTAACGGGTCATACAGTACTTACTCCAGGGAATGTCTAGAAAATAACCCTTGGGATACAGGCGTGCTTAATAAAGGCTGCTTTATTGGTGATCATGGAGCAATAAATTGCACCAGTGTGTGTGTGTGTGTGTGTGTGTGTGTGCTCTGTATTCCGCAAGACTAGATTTTAAATGTGCAAATGCAAACCCTAATTCAGAGTTGAAGTGTGCGTTGTTGCACATGTGTTGGCTGCTGTTTCTGTGTGTCCAGGCGCAGGAATGTGTTTAGTATGAGCCCTGCATGGCCTGGTGTTCAGGCTACAGTCCATCTGGTGGACAGCACTGTAAGCTGCAGCGGTGGCGAGCCCTGAGCCCAACAGCTGCTAGACAGACTCCACGCTAGGAAGGTTACCAAGATGTAGGAAAAAGACATAAAAGAGAATGTGTGGAGGCGCATTAATAATCTCATTTAAAACTATTTTTGAAAAGAAAAGTAATAATATTATTGAACTCACTGTTTATTTGTGTTCTGTTAAGATGTTTTTTTATTATTGCTGGTCAATTAAATCATAGGCAGCCAGTGACTAATAGCACAGTCTTCACATGAAGCCAACACATTTTATAATATTCAATATAGTACAATATGAGCATTGACAGTCCATTAGCTTTTAAGAATGACCTGTTCCTTCCCTCCTCTTTCTCTCACTTTTGTTTGCCCTCCAGCTACTTGACTTGTTCTACTTGACTCCTGAACCATTTTAATATCAGGCTGCCATGGGTTTCCTTCCTGTAAGCCAGTGCCTTCATATTTCTGTTTCTGCCCTCCCTGAAAGAGAGATAAAAACTGGAGTACTAAGCATGCTGTTGATATATTCTACCAGTGTATATTAATAGAGTTAGTGACCCTGTTAATGGCCCTTTTAAATACCATGAAGAGTGTGCAAGGAGGACAAATGTTGAGAAAATATTTTGGGTTAATTTGACGATGATATTTGTGTAAATATAAAAAAGCACCTGTGACCTCCTGCTGCATATGACAAAATGCAAAAAAAAAAGGTTGATTTGCTAAAAGAGGGTATTAATACACTGATTGTAGAGTCCTTTTTTTCCCGGAGTTTCTTTCAGCACATTAGCCCCCGATTGCAAAGACATATAGTATAATGTCATTATAATATGACAGCCAATTTTTTAATTAATCTAAATACAATGCCGAATCCATGTACAATGCTAGAAAAATCAAAGAAATCAATATAATTCAGCATGCCAGCTCAGTTTTATTAGTGCTAAATGCAACAGCTAGTTAACAGTTCATATTAATCACTTTTGAAATG